CCCAAACAGCCACCAGGAAAATGCCAACCAGTGGGTGACATGTGCCCATCTTCCTCATGCCCTTGCTACGAGTACCAACCCCAGCAGAAGCCTGCCTCCCCAGCCTCAGTGACCTCGCAGTGCCCCCCTCTTCCTGGTCGTGGACACAGGGCTCCCTACATGTGCATCTCTGTGTAGATTGCAGTCCTGGCTCTTAGTAAGGACAGAAAAACGAGCACTTACTCTCTTTCAGCTGCTGTGCCAGGCTGTCCGGAGTCACGAAGACAAGCCCAGAGTCACAGGTGCAGAAGCACAGCCAGCTCACACAGCCGCGTGAGGCACGGCCAGAGCAGACGCCCAGGCATGCAACTAACCCCGCAGCAGGTGCGTCTCATTGCCATTCCTCCCAGGTGCTCTGTGGCGTTCAGACATACCAGCCTCCTGCTGCTGTGCTAGGGCCTTGGCCTGGGCAGGCTGCAATGCTGCCTCCCCTGTCTGCCCCAGTCAGCTGCTGTCCACCTCATGCACTCCAGCCATCCCTGCTCTGGCCACACCGTGGCGTGCTGTGCCTCTCGTCCAGACCACGCTGGCTGCCACAGCAGCCACAAGCTCAGAACCAAGCACGGTGCCTGCTGGTGGTGGGCGCTCGCCCAGCAGCTTCCTGGACAGACTGACGGATCGGCTCAGGCCGAGGCGCTCACATTTCCTCCATCTGGTGGGCTTCACTCTGTTCAGGCCACCCTGCCCCCAAGACCCTGGGGGAAGGGAGGGGGTGTGGCCAGGTCAGATTCTGCAAGTGCTGAATGGGGAGGGAGGGGTGGCTGGTGACTCCAAGCCCATTACTTTCCCAGCATAAAGTAAAGGTCTTGCGGAGGGATCCAGAGGCCGGACATCCCGTCTCAGTGGCCAGCGCAGGTCTCTCAAAGCCCAGAGCAGCTGGAGGCACGGAGACAGTCGCAGCCATCCCCACGGGCTGTGGTCTGGCCTGCGGAACCGAGCTGTTCCATAGTTGGGGAGGTTCTCCGCCGAGCTTGTTGCTCTATCAAGTCTCCCTAGGTCCCCCTTGAAGGCGGCTTGGACGCCTGGAAGGAGTGTTGGTTTCTACGGGGCCTGTCTCACCACGCTCAGATGAGGAAGGTACAGTTGGAAGAGGGAAAACACTTCTCAAAGTGCTTCAGCAAAACACTTCAGCAAAGTCACAATGAGACCCAGCCTGGCGCCGAGGCCTCAGCCCTCCGGGAAGGGCGCGCCGGTCAGCGGCTCTTCGCCCAGGTCCCAGGGCCACTTGGGCTCGGGCACTTCCACTTCCGGGGACGCGGAACTCACCCCTCCGGAAACTCGCCTTGCCTTTTCCATTGGTTCCTCCTGTCACAGACCTCCCTGTAGTACCCGCTTGTCGCTTGTGTGATGTTCATCGCCCCTCCCACCCCAGCACCCCACTCCTAAGTCCGCTCCCAGACCCTCTGCCTGGTGCTCCCTCTCAGAGGTGCGGCCTGTGTCTACCCCACAGCCCAGGTGCAGCAGGCCTCTGTTGCGCTGACCCCGGAGTTTGAGCGGCATGCTCTCCCCATGTGTGGCTGGCTCAGTCCGCTGACAGCGACCCTTACTGGCCTCAGGGCCCTGGGCCTGGCTCCTCTGAGGGCTGGAAAGGGCTGCTAGGTGGAAAGTTAGCAGGGAATAGCACCCTGCTTGGGGATGTGTCGCAAGTCTCAGGGACTGGGCCATGTGTCAGTGTGTGTGCGTGCCACATGCTCCTGTGGGGAGAGGCCGTATGCATGCATGTTCTAACCCGCGGCGTGACAATGCCACCTGCGTTGAGAGCTGTAGCGCATGCCAGCTTCTTTGAAAACCGCAGTGTCCCGTTTTCCAACTTCCAAAGAAGAGCCAGCTCCTCCAAAGAAATGTCCTTGGAGGCTAAACCCTCAGGGAGCTGCCCCCTCTGCACAGCGCCCACTACCCCTGTGGGAGGGAGACGTGGCTCCTGCTTGGCCTTCTCACAGCAGTACCAGGGGCATTCAAGGTCTCTTACAGGCCTGGGATGTATGGGCTCCATTCCCATGGGGCAGGCACAGCATTCTCCCAGTCCCAGAAGGAGAGCTTAGGAAGCAGCTGGTCACAGGGACCAGAGCCAGTCCAGGGTAGGGAGGGCGAGTGAAGGGCTGCTACCCACTGACCCTCCTCCCAGCTTCTCAACTGCCTGCATAGTCCCCTGCATGGAGCTTGCCATGTGAGCATGCACACCCATGCAGCACGACAGTCCACCCTGGCAGCACACAGATCCAACCTGGTACTGAGGAAATGAACAAAACCCAACACCCTCTGTGCTGCAGATCCTCCCAGGGCCTCTGGGCTGAGGCCCAGGCTTCTGAACTTCGCAGCCAAGTCTGAGAAGAAGGGAAAGGCCACCCCTTCCTCCCCACCCCCGGCTCCTTACCGAGCCTCCTGCAGGCTGTCGGTGCAGTCCTAAGACACACAGGCACGTGCAGGACATGCATGCACACATAAGACACATGTGCACACATGGGACCCAAGTGTATACATGGAGCACATGGTCACACCTGGGACACACATGCATGGGATCCATGTGCACTTACTAGACGCAGGTAGACACAGGGCACATATAGGACATGCATGTACACATGTGGAACACTGCACAAGTGGCACATGCATGAACACGTATGACACATGTACCACTTAGGCACACACGTGTGCACAGAGCACAAGCACACCCACAGGATTCACATGCCCAAATAGGGCAGGTGTGCGCATGTGAATGTGTGCACACAGGACACACTTGCAAGGGACACACTAAAACACATGTGCACGTGTGGGATAGTGATGCACATACAGATGCCCTGGGATCTTGGTAGTGAGCAGATACTGATCTGCAGGTCTGCAGTGAAGACTGCTTTGCTAACATGCTCCAGGGGTTCCCCAGGATGGCAGCACATGGGCCACGCTCTGCACACATGAGGAAAAGGCCTTGTACATCTCACCTCCCTCCCTGGCCCTCCTGCTGCAGCCCCAGTCCATTTGCTTCTCCTTGGGGCATGGGCAGCACAGCTGAACACTCCACCATCCCCACCAAGTCTCTGGAAGGAAGGCTGCACCAGCTCAGCTCACAAGTGCAAGTGTGTCCTCCCTCCTCTGGACTGCTCCTCCCCTGGACTGGGCCCAAGAACTCCCCCAAACACACTCCTTCCGCCTCCCAAAGCCACGTGCTGTGTGCTCAGCCCCCACAAAGGCAGTCCTGTCTGCTGCCTACCTGTGGCTCAGAAAGGCCCACCTCAGCCATGAGAATCAAGACATGAGCTCGGAGGGCCACGGACAGAAGCTCAGCATCTCTGGGATCCTGGGCTAGCTTGGCCACTTACTCCAGCTTTGGGACTTGAGCAAGGTCCTGAACCTCTTTAAACCTGTTTTTTCTTTTGGAAAATGGGAACATGGATCAGCCTTATCTCACAGGTGCCGAAGAAAATGTACCCAACGGCTCAGCTCAGACCCTAGTGCTTGGCAAGTTTCCTTTATCCAGTGGCCACCTCCAATGATGCTGCTGGCTCCCAGCTTGATCTTGAAGAAGCTGCAAGACCCCTCAAGGACCTGTTTCGTTACTTGTCCCTTGGGTCCAGCAGCCTCTGTCTGTGGAGATGCTCCCCAGTATGGCTCTACTGCAGGAGAAATCTGTGCATCCCATGTCCCAGGTCTCCTACGCCGTGGATTTCAGAGTACTGTCTGGGAGTTTCAGGGGTATCTGAGGCCCCTCAGGAACTCTACAAGACCCAAACACTTTTCATAATAATCCTAGGTCATTGTCTTTCTCACCCAATTTCCCACCAGCATAGTGTTTCTGAGACACCTGTTTGTTATCTCACAACAAGTTAAATGCAAAAGCCATAACCTTCTGTGAAGATGTTGAAGTTTTCAACATGCAAAACCCCATCACCTTGGTCATCCAGTCTTTTGTTTACAAAACTGGCATGATTTTTCATTAAAAAAATATGCGTGCAACATAGAATGAACTTATTATAGCTATGGACATAAATGGATTTTTTCCTTTTTTTTTTTTATTATGGTAAAGACCAAAATGCAGGGGATCAGCACCGGCACAGCAGGTTAAGCAACGGCCAGCAAGGCCAGCATTCCATGTGAGCACCTGTTGGAATCTCAGCTGCTCCACTCCTGATCCAGCTCCCAGCTAACTCACCTGAGGACCCCAAGGGAGTTCCTTTTCTGGGAACTGGCTCAGCCCTGACCACCGTGGCTGTTTTCTCTCACTCCACAGATCTGGCATGTGGGCCAGGTGCAAATGTAGTTATCTGTTCTGGATCCATCATTTGGGGTCCTGGAGCATTTGTGCCGAGTTCTCACGGAGACGAAAGAGCCTCCCTCGTGACTGGGGTTGCCCCACTGGTGGGTGAAAGCCTGGGGCACCTGGTGGCACCTCATGTGGGTAGACATGGCCTGAGAATTAAGCCAGCAAGAACCAAGTGACGGCAACAAATCCTGGTCCCCGTTCTGGAGCCCTCTGCATCCGGCCAGGCCTCTCGGTCACTTGGGCCTCCCCTACCCTGTTGAGAGCTAAGGAGTTGATTAGCATTTGTTAAGCTTGGCTCCTGCAGGAAATGGGCTTGGAGGCTAGTGACACCTGGTCTGTCAGACTCATTAGCATCCGATTGTTCTGCTAGAGGCTTGGGGGAAAAGTATATATGACTGAATAAAGGGAGGCCAGAGAGACCTCTTCCACCAATACTGGTCTCCTGTCGGTGTCTGATTCCCTGACCCTCACCGTGTCCATGCTACTGGCTCTGCTGGCCGGAACACTACCCCCCACCTTTTTTCCCTGACATGAGTTTTTTTAAATCCGTACGAATAAGCAGGTCAGATCAAGACCTGAGCAGTGTGGCAAGGCTGCTGGGTGAATCCCACCACGTCTCTGGTGCCTGGAGTGGCTCCACTGGCTGCCAGGAACACCTAGCAGACCCCGGTCCCTTGAGAAACACAGCTGGATGCGAGCAAAGGAGTTTCTTCAACTTTATCATTTATAAAGCCATACAATGGATCGCGAAGAAAACGAGCCGCTGTACAGGAGTGGGGACAGCCTCAGTGAACATACATTCATATCTGGGTCAGATAGCACAGGCTGAGGGTTTATACAAGGTGGCAGAGGCTATAGGCATGATGATACAAAATATATATTTCCATCTATATAAATACACAGCTGGGGGCGGGGCTTCTGATTCTCCTGCAGAGGGGAAGGGGGGAGGTAAGGAATCTTATATTTGTTTTGAATGGTGTTCAGAAGGGAGGAGGAAGAATGAGGAGACACAAGCTCAGCCACATGTACTCACTCTCCTGCGTTCTCACACACACATACGAACCCAGTATGGGCACACAGGCGAGTGTCAAACCATGTGAACACTGATTAAGAAACCAAACTTGGGGCATCCTCCCACAAAAACCCATTACAGGCAACAATGTAGACATCTGAAGAAGAGGGGCTAGAGAAGAGCACAGGCGTCCAAGCCTCATGAAGCCTTGGGCCTAACACCTGTCCTACAGGCCCGGCCTCCCTTTCCCTTTCTTGGCCCTGGGATATTGAACTTGACCATCCAATTCCTCATCACCTGTGACCCCCCCACTGCCAAGTTCCCTAAAGGGGTGAGCAAAATACACAGACACATCCACACTTGCACACACACACATCCTAGGTTCCCATCGATCCAGGGTCTCAGTGCTGTGGGACCTGGTCTTGAAGCAAGAGGTGGGCCTCCACCACTTCAGTTACCCAAAGTGTAGGATGGGCTGGGTGGCAGCTGCCTCCTGTGGCTGAGGCATTGCCCATGTGATCTCCCCAGGTGCTGAAATTGGGGCAAAACCAATAACGGGCAGAAGACCTAGGAAGAAGAAGAGAGCCCAGTGGGAGGGAAGATGCTGCTCACGTTCCCTGAGCCCTCTGCACCCCCGGGGGACACGAGGAGCCCCCGCTCACCACTCTGGTCCAGCAGGGTGAGGTGTAAGAACATCCTGTCTTCCTGTCTCCCAAAAGCCTCTATTGGGCCCATCGCTGTCATGCTTGCTAGTCCTTGACACACCCAGCAACTGCTCAGGCACAAGTCCCAGCTTTTCCAGACTTGGATGAGATGGGAGAGAAGGCCCATCCCAAACCAAGCACTTGAGGTCTCTGACCTCCCAATTCTGTGTGGAGAAAGGAGCCAGGATGCCATGTGGCGTGTGGGAACATCTTAGTCACCCTATCCCTCTGCCCCCATTATAGCTCATTTCTTCCCCACTTTCCTCTAGGATCACCTCCTCCCTCTGGACACACGAGAGCAGCTTGGGGAGACAGGGCTTACTTGGCAGGGTCTCTGCCACCCCTTCCGGCCCAAGCCAAGTTCCATAATTGACAAACAAAATTCAACAATAGCAACACACATGCAGGGAAGAACAACTTACACATTTTTACAAAGTACTAACAATCAGTACAAAGTGCTTTCTTTTTGAGGAAATCTTTGGCAAGAACAGACTGTGGTGCTGCGTGGTGGCATGTGTACCCATACGTGTGTGCATCTGTGTCCCCTGGGCTCACCTCTGAGGTGAGGGATGCCAGGCCCAAATGTGTGGTGAGGCTGCTCTGAGCTGGGGTCCCCTTCCCAGTGGCTTTCCTGGCCAAGCCAAGGCAGGTTTGGGGGCCCTCCCTCGCAGCTCAGGCCCCCACAGTGGCAGGGGTGGGTGGTTGCTGGTGGGGCAGTGAAGAGGTGGGAAAACAGGTGCAATGGCAGAGCCCACCTTCAGATCCCAGGGGCCAGGTGTGGATGCCAGGCAGCCTCCAGCTGAACAGGCCACCTGGCAGCAGACAATATGAAGATATTTACAAGGTGACTAGGGAGGGGATGAGGGGAAGGGCCAAGCAGGGCATTGGGGTGGAACATCTCAGAAGGAAGAACACTTTGGGGGGACCTCACTGTTGGGGAAGTGGGGTCATCCCACCCCCACCCATTTCAGACACTCTCCAGCTCCTTAAAACACAACGTCCACACAGGTACAGCTCCCTGGAGGAGGAGAAATTTGAGATACACACACGTCCTTTTCCGCATCTGCCACATGCACCCATGCCCCTCCCCTGCCATTCTCATGCTCACAGAGGCCATGGGGATGGGGGAAGCTCTCCCCACCACACCCTGGCAACTGACCACTGGGCTCCAGAGAGAGCCTGTGGGAGACCAAGGCCCGGGCAAGGAAAACCGCGACTGGCCCAAGGAGCACGGCCTCCCAGGTCTCATGACTTAACAGATTCAAAGGGACTGGAGTTGGTTCATGACCAGAAAGGCCAAAAGAAAAAAAAAAATAGCAGTGTAGGGGATAATAAATACTTCCGGGAAATTTACCTATTTTCTCTCTCTTTTTTTTAATCTTTTCTTATATTTTATTAGCTTACAGATCTGTTAGTATGTCTCACATATATATTATATATATTTATATATCAGTCGATGCCTCACTCTCAAGGACACCACAGGCTTAAAAATGGAGTCCTGGTGAGCTTCTATTAGAGGTGGACCTCGGGCTCTCAGGGCCCCAATGCACGCCTTCTGCCCCTGTTCCTTGGGCAGCGTGGCTCCATGGCAAGGCTTTGGTGTTACAGGCAGGCCATGCAGGGTGCTCACGGCACCCCAGATAGAAGCAGGCTCCACCATAATGACAGAGGGGAGAGCAAAGTCTGCAGGCTTCTCCCCAGGGGAGCCTGGCCAAGCAGGGCCTTGGGCAGCAGAGAGCCCCACACAGGGGCAGAACAGGGCAAGGCAGAGAAGTTCAACCCACAGCCAGCCCCTAAAGGGCATCATGCAAAGAAGCAAGTCAGAGATAAGGCCAGTTCTGGGCATGAAGCCCAAGGATGGGGCTGATGTGGGGAGCTAAGGCAGGGTGCTGGGCACAGGTAGCAGTGACCTGCCCACCTCACTGTGAGCCGCAAACTCAGCAAGAATGCATGCAGCTCAAAAAAAAAAAAAAAATGCATGCAGCTCAGCTGAGCCCTTCCAGACAGCCTTCCCCAAGGCCACAGCACAGCTACACATATGTTCACTCTCTCCAAAGCTCCAGCTCCCAGCGGGGAAACAAGGGAGAAAGGACTGGCGGCACCCAGGGCCAGCAGAGGGCAGGAAGCACCCTTGGGTGCTCCTACTAAGGACAACTGTGTCCCCTCCCCACTGCCTGGTTACGCTAAGGCCCTAAATTTCTTTGGACAGCACGCATGTATGCATGCAAACACGTGAGACAGACATGGGTTCCAGCTGCTGCAGGCAACTCTAGGCCAAGAGGTGAGGATGTGTGACTGCAGACACCTGAGCACCCACACAATGTGTCAGAGGCACAACAGAGGGGCCACAAGGCCTTGGGTCCAAGACACTTGTCAGTGAAAAAGTTCTGCCACCTCTGGTGGGTCTGGATCAGCAACCCACCCTACAGGTGGCCAGGGAAGAGTAAGATTTTTCTCTCCTTGCAGAGCTGTTGAGTGAGGGATGGGAGACTTCACTCCCCTGGAGGCGGATTCTGAAGGAGGCTGGCAGGCTCCAGGTGGAGCTCCATTCTTGGAAAGCAGGGTGAGTGGCAGGTGTGCAGCTGGGGGCCCTGGTCCCACCATCTGGGAGGCACGGGAGATTGGCAGTCTTCATCTCCCCAGGGAAATGCGAGTTCTTCTCCTCGGTCTTTTGCTTTCTCTATCCTCCCCTCTCTCTGCGATTCACTTCCCTCTCCCCATGTTGCACTTTCTTCTCTCCTTCTCCAAAATCAGCCCAAAGTCCTCCTTCTGGATTCCAGGGTGGTCAGGATTCGTGGGTTTGCTCCCTCCCCACACACCCCAGCCCCAACTGCCCTGGCCCTGGGCATGGGCTGGGGAGCTCATCTCTTCTGGCCGGCATTCAGCATGACCTTGGAGACAAAGTTGACAATGGCAGAGGCTGGCTGGTTGGGGTCAAGCTCAGCGAAGAGGTGGCAAGCGTTGTCCGTGCTGCTGCCCTGTTTCCGGGCCACAAAGCCGAAGAGCCTGTGGGGGTGCCAAGAATGACAGGTGTGAGGAGGCAGGGACAGGGACAGCTGTTGGGGAGGGTTGAACCTCAGCTCTGGAGGCAGCGCAGGTGTATAGCTTGGCCTGGCCAACTTCTCCATCCTACCCAACCCCCAGTTTTCCCTGGGCATTAGGGGTTGGGGTTGGCACTTAGGAGAACCCTGTCCTGCCACACCACCCACGGGCTGGGGACATCTCCCACCAGGGTGAGAGGGACAAGACTGTGGATAGTAAGGGGTGGGGAGGAGAACAGAAATAAAATGGGGACATTCCCAGACAAGCTTCTCTGGCCCCTCCCAGCCCTGCCCCACCCTGCTGACTGCTCTTAGGCATAAACAAGCAAGTGAACCCAGTGGTGCCTGCCTGGCAAAGGCCATGGCCCTCTCCAACTCCACGAGAAGGTCAGGGTCACCATACACACACACACACTCGCTCTTAGTACTCCTGAACTCAAGACCCAAGTTCCCAGAGAACGCAGGTCAGAGAAGGAACCCCTCTGCATGCCCTCCACCCCCACCAGGACTAGAGCGGCCCAGTCTTCTGTCTTCGCAAAACAGAGTTAAAAATATGAGGGCAGAGAACAGAATGTGAGTTCAGGTCCCCTCCCAGTAAGCCTGTTGCTAATTAGAGCAGGTCGGGGACTTCAGGACAGCTGGAGACGCCACCCATGGAAACCCCTCGTCGGCACTGTGCCATAATAGCCAAAATTAGCAGGGCTGGGTCCTGCCTGCTGCTTGTGTGAGTGCACATCCATGTCTGCCCTGCCACACAGATCACACACAGCCCACACCACATGCACACAGTACACACACCCCACGCATGTACTGCCTACACACTCCACACTCCATTATACCACATACATCACATACATACCACACACTGCACACATACACACGTACCACCTACACACCTCACTCTACACACACCCCACATGTACCACCTACGTATCTCATACTTTACACACACACACACACGCACCACCTACATACTCCATACTCCACACATACCACATGCACATACATCACATACATACCATATGCACACACAGCCCACACACTCTGTACACACACCATACAAATACCACACACATCACACACACCATATATACTCCATATAGATACCAGAAATATACCACATATGCACAGCACATACACCCCACACCACCACACACAGTACAACCAAACACCTCACAAGCATACCACATGCACACGGAACACACACCCCACACAGCACCACCCTACACTCCACATGCATACCACACACAGAGTATGTCCCCCCACACATGTACCATTATACACCCCACATGCACACAGTACACACACCCCACACGTGTACCACTATACAAACCACACACATACTACACACACATACCACACACTCTATGCACAACCCACACACTCCACAGACATAGGACACACTATACATACACCACAACCTACACATGTGCGTATGTGCCCTTCATTCCTATAGCTTTGTTCTCGGGCTGGGAATGACAGGGCCCTGTGACATGGGGTGGTGCTCAGGCAGGGGAGAAGCCAGGGTCTGGAGAGCAACCCCAGCACCTCCCCTTCCAGACTGGCTTCTCATGGGGCTGCTCTGGCTAGAGTGAGGTGTGTCACCAGGCTTCTGGCACAGGGTATGCCAGACAGCCCTGGTTGCCACTGCCTGCCAGGATGGAAACCCTGCCATGCACTGCCACCTGCCCCAACTGCAAGCTCTGGCCTGCCCGGAGACACGGGGACTCACTGACTCTGGGGACTCATTCTATCATCACAGCTCTGCAGGGGCCCTAGCACTGATTAACAGCTGTGCAGGAAAGAAAGAAGCCACACTTACTTAGCAGGGGCACCACCCTCGGTTTTCATCCACCTACAGAGAGAAAGATGGCTCAGGATGATGCAGGTACCTTCCCCGCCCCGCCCCCCCCCCCAAAGTCCAAACTTGGGAGGGTGTGGGGAAGGTAGAGGAAGCCCCCTCCTTCACCCCAGTCCCCACAGACAGACCCCTGTGAAGATGAGGCATGGGGCACACAAGTACGCCAGTGCAGAGAGGAGAAGCAGACTTGGGTCAAAGACATGTAAGAGCAGGTGAAAACGGACAGCTGAGTCCCCAAGGGGCCTCATGTCTGCAGCAGGAAAGATTCAGGCAGGTGGTCCTGCAGAGCCCGGAGCACACAAACCAGTGTTGAAGAGCTGGGTGTGTGGGTCTGTAGAACTTACTTTCTTTCCTGTGGATCCAGGTCACAGAAGGTGACAGTGTTGAGGGGATAGTGTCGTCGGAAGAAGAGCCTATGGCACACATATCAGATTAAAAGAGTGAGTGTCAGGCTGGCTGCTACCCCTCCTTTTCACCTGCAGCCAAGACCACCTTCCCACCACCATCTGCGGCTGTCACAGAGCTGCTGCATGGGTGCTCGTAGATGAGCAAACTGGCCTGCTCTGCTCCCCCTGGGGGGCCTGGGCAGCATGTGGAGACAGATAGATGTGCCCTGGAAACAGGTCCAAGATGCAAAGGGCTGGAAAAAGAAGAAACTGGGACTGAGGCGAGAGAAAATGAGGTGGTCCAGAGGGAGAGGCTGCAGCTGGATGCACTGGTTAGGGACAGCCCATTACGGAAGGCTGTGCTCCAGGATACAGGTACTTTTATCAGTTGTATGTAGAGCTGCAAAGCCAAAGCAGGAAAACCCTTGTGGAAGGATGGATGCATGAATAAACAAATGGGTGACTGGATAGTGGATGGATGGATGTGTAGATGGGAAGGTGACTGGAAGGAGGGATGGATAGATAGATGGAAGGAAGGGAGGATGGATTATTGGAAGAGTAGAAAGATGGATAGGTGGGTAGAAGAGTAGAAGGATGAATAGATGGGTAGGAAGGATGAGTTGAAGGACAGGTAGATGTATGGATGATAGGAAGGAAGGGAAGGGAAGGGAAGGGAAGGGAAGGAAGGATGGGTGGGAAAGATGAACGAATAGATGGGTGGAGGGACAAACGGATGGAGAGGGCAAATGGAGGAAGAATGGACATAAGTGAGTAAACTGATGAGTTGGTAAGTGGGTGGGTAGATAAGACAACCAGGAGGTGGGTGTAAGGGAATAAGGGATGGACCAACTGGCAAGCAGGTGAGCAGCACATGGGTAAAAGAATCTTACTTTCTCTGGTTGTCAGTCAGTGTGATTCCCTGGGCAGACACCTTGAAGTGAACAATGGTGGCAGCTGGCGTGGGGTCAGCAGCCAACGTCTCAGATGTGGCTTTGGAAATAGCCTGTGGTCCTGTGAGGGACTCCATGTCCACAGAGTTGACGAAGAGCACATTGCAGGCTGGAAGAAAGTGACACAAGGAAGAGTCATGGGGTTGGAGGTGAGATGGCACCACAGGCCCACTCTTGGCAGGGTGTGGGGTAGAGGAGGGACCAGTTGCAATTTCAGGCCACAGTGGGTCAAGGCATCTGTATGCAGACATACAACCTATCCAGAGACATGGAGGTATGGGAGAGGTATTTGCAGCCTGCACCCATAGGAGAGCACAAGGCCAGGAAAGCAGAAAGAAAGCCCTAGACCAGGGTCCAGTCTCAGGGGACCACTCACCAGCTCCTTGCTTTAGCAGGTCAGAGGTTGAGTTGGCGGGACCAGAGCTATCTTTTGATTCATCTGTGGGGTCTGAGACAAAAATTCAGCTGGTAATTAAAACCCGAGAGCTGGAAAGAAGCACACGTTTGGCTGGGCCTAAGGTGAGCAGTGCAATGGACACTGCCTCTCCTAAGAGGCCCTGGCAGCAGTCACTGCTGGGTGATGTTCAGTACTAAGGGTTCAATGATGCCTCTAAGTGCCTGGAACACTGCGTGCGGCTCTGCAGCAGGACAGAGCTAGACTCAAACCCTCGCCTCAGTGCTTACAAAGAGAGGATGCCGACCATTCATCACTTCCATGCCCCGTGTTCAGCCAGGTGTTCAGCACAACACAAACCTTCCAACAGCAATTGGCGGCAGCCATGGTGATGGTTTGCACTGATGAGTCTTGGTGTTGATCAACAAGTACCCTCATTTTTTAAACCTTCATGGAGCCTAACTATAATTTCAACATGAAGAACTGAGCAATGTATATGTTCATGGGTTTTGATGTTAACCATGTCAAGATAGGTTGCACACTGTACAGAATTCAATTTCTATTTATCAACCAGATGCATCTTTGAAAAATCAGGGGGAAAAATTTGAGTGTTGGTTACACCAGGGTTTGACAGCCTCTGGTATGCAGGCTTGTTAAGCACAGATTGCTGGGCCCAAGACACCCAAGCACCTGAGTAGCAGGTCTTGAGAACATTTACACTTTTAACAAGTTCCTGGTAGAGGCTGACACTGCTGATCAGAGGACCACACACTGAGATCCGTGCTTGACACAATTTAAATAACAAGCAGTTTCTGATGAACTATTTCCATAAATGCCAGAGAAACAGAAGCTGATTAGCATCTAGCATATGTCATCAACAATTCTACCTAAGTTGTATTTAACTTTGGGTCAGTTATTAATCACTATACAAATCAGATTGGTGAAATAATAGATATTGATAACTGCTATTAAAGGTTTCATGTGTTGTTATAACTCCCGGACCTCCAAGCACAGGAATGGATGGAGTCCTAGGGCACAAGCCTTTGGGGCATTTCCAAGGGTGCTCCTGACAGACAGGGTCGGGAGGAGGCAGTGCTCAGACCTTGCTTTCAGCACCAGGCATTACAGAGGTGCACCTGTGCACTTGGGAACAGGTGGTAGAAGCTTGTGCTATGAGATATCCTGAGTCTACCACCACACTCCAGGACCAGGACATATTCCTTGCCCATCACCTCACTCAAGTACCAATGTCCTTGGCAACTATGCAAACTTCCCATGAGGAACCCTCGCTCTTCTCCAATGACTCAGTGCCTCCCACCCCCCGCCACACAAGTACGGTTGGGCCCCATCCTTTCTACCCTCTCCCCTGGAGCACACTCCTTCTTCCCCATCCAGCCAACCCCAGGGCATAGATGCCCATGACCTCAACCTGCCTCCCCTCTCCATCCCTCCTACTGATGTCCACCTCATTTCCAGGACATGGCCCCTTGGGGATGCCTCCACCTCCCACCACCATCATCACCACCACCACAGGGAGTGAGGCTTACTCTGAAGGATCTATGTGAAATTGCCTAGAGAACTTTCTAGAACAATCTGGCAAGTCAATTCTGAATGATCCTGGAGTTAAGCTTTTTTAATGAACTTTTCCTTCTTTTTTAATAGGTGGTCGGGGAGCAGGAGAGTGATTCTGATTTTCCCCAAAATGGAAGAACGACCCGAGGATGCCACCCCAGGTGGTTGTTCTGAAGCGGCTGGCACGGCCGAGATCTGGAGTGGCCAGCTCAGGGGTGCGCTTGGCCAGCCGGAGCCTCGCGTGCCTACCTCGGTTTGGAATGACCAGCTTGCAGGGTAGAGCCAGTGGGATGATGGAGTGCTGATAAACCAGAGCAGACAGAGATCCTGCAGGCAGAGGGACAGAGGCATGTCAGGAGCAGGGATCCTGGGAGCTGAGGGCAAGGGAAGGGCACCATGCCCCACTGTACCCCATCCACCCCACCCCATGCAATCTTCAGTTTCTTGATTATCTTTCCTGTATCCCACACCAGCAAAGCTTAAAGTTTACCCTCTCTTTTTTTCAGCAAGACCCAGGAAAATTCTAAAGGCTCATTTAGTAGATACAAAGTAACCTATTTCCTTCATAGAAAGCTCTTCCTGGGGGTTGATGCTGTGGCATGTGGGTTAAAGTTGCTGCTTATAGCACAGGCATCCCTCACGGGTGATGGTTGGTTCAAGTCCCAGCAGCTCCGATTCCCATCCAGCTCTCTGTTGATGGCTTGGGAAAACAGCAGAGACCTTAGGTCCCTGCATGTGAGAGAACCTAGAAGGAGTTCCTGGCTCCTTGGCTTTACCCTGGCCCAGACCTGGCCATAGAGGCCATTTGGGAGATGAACCAGCAGATGGAAAATGCCTCCACCCCTACTCTGTCTTTAATTCTACCTTTCAAACCAGTATGATAAATCTTGGGGCCAGTGCAATAGTGGTTTAATTGACTAATCCTCTGCCAGCAATGCCAGCATCCCATATTGGCATTGTTTCATTTCCCACCCGGCTCCCTGATTATATGACCTTGGAAAGTAGTGCAGGATGGCCCAAAAACACAGGCCTCTGTACCCATATGGTAGACCTAGAAGAGGCTCCTGGCTTCAGCTCAGCTTTGGCTATAGTGGTCAATTGGGGAGTGAACCAATGGACAGATCCCTCTGTCTCTACAAATCCGCCTTTACAATAAAAATGAATAAATCTTTATATAAATCTTTTTTAAAAATAAATAACCTGGGGCCAAGCACCGTGGCCTAGCAGCTAAAGTCCTCGCCTTGAACACACCGGAATCTCATATGGTGCCAGTTCTAATCACGGTGGCCCTGCTTCCCTTCCAGCTCCCTGCTTGTAGCCTGGGAAAGCAGTCGACGACAGCCCAAAGCCTTGGGTTCCTGCACCCGTGTGGGAGGCCTGGAGGAAGCTCCTGGCTCCTGGCTTTGGATCGGTGCAGAGCTGGCCATAGTGGTCACTTGGGGAGTGAATCACTTGGGATGGAAGATCTTCCCCTCTGTCTCTCCTCCTCTCTATATATGTATCTGACTTTGCAATAAAAATAAATAAATCTTTAAAATAAACAAATAAGTAAATAACCTGTTCCTCCTAACACCTGTCCTGAGTCCCCCCCGGGGTTAGGATAGTCCTGTAGAAGTGTCAAGCCACTATGGGGTCAAGTCTCAGCTCAATCACTTATTGTGTGTGTGTTCCTGGGGGAATCTAACTTCTGAGAGCCTCCGGGCCCTCATGTGCAAGTCAGGAATAATGATTGCAACCACACAGGATTGTGGCAAGACCAGGAGCAAGGTAAGGGACCTGAACAGACTTTCCCACAGTAGGAGGTCCACAGAAGCAGCTGCCAGAGTGGTCACTCCAATGGTGACAATAAGTCCGGGCTGAGTAAGACAAACAGATGGGATGTAGTGCAGCTCAGGAGCCTGACCGGGAAGTCTGACAGAGCCTGCAGTCTCAGAACTTGGGGTGGGGAAGGGTGAGACTCCTGGAGGTGCCTGGGTATGAGAGGGCAGGTAAGACCCCTGGAAGCCCCTAAGACAGGGCTGGGATTCCAGGGCCAGCCTGCAGTGGAAACAGAGGCAGGGGGCAGCTCACCAAAGTTCGGCTCATTGGGACATCCCTTGAGCTTGACTCCTCTGGGGCCGGTCTCTATCAGGAAATGCCTCACCAGCTCGTGGGTCATGTCCCCTGGGAAGAAGCACAAGGAACAAAGGCCGGTCACTGCTTGTGGTGTCCCCCTCCTTTGGCCCCAACCTCCTCCCAGAAGTGCTTGGTCAGGAAGACAAAGTGAGGTTGCAGAGATAACGTGGTAACAAGGACCCCAAGGGATACAGAGCTGGCCACTTCCCATCCCCCAACAGCATGGAGGTCCAATGACATTGCTTTCCAGACCCCAAGGCCAAGATACGCTCTGCTGAACAGCAATGTTGCCATTAGCTGCTCAATGCAAGGGTCCCTCTACTTCCCCAGGTAGGGGGCTGCTCCAGGTAAGCTCACCTTTCTTGTTCTGTTGCACGATGGTTGGAGGTGGGGAAGATACCTTCATGGCCAGCCCATAGGCCCCCCGGAAGGAGTGACTGTCACGGATGATGAAGGTCCCTGGCTCCTGATCCTTAAGAAGTGCGATGGCTGCATTGGGAGGGGTGGGAAGAGAAGAGGAACTGGCCTTGACAACACTGGCCTTGCTCACGGAATCCCATCTTAGGGGGAGAAGGACACTCTCCAAAGCTGGAATTCAAACCTTCCTAAGGCTCCCATTGCCCCCAGGCTCAGCCAGGGAGCTGTGTAAATGGATGGGGATTGATTATTTTAGGCTTTGCAAGCTGGGTGGTCCCCCAGGGCCATCACTGGTCCTGTCACTGGTGGCCCAGAGATGTGCAAAACTGCAGCCACAGTGAAAGGCTGTGGGGCTGCCTCTAGCCCACTCCCCGATGCTTTCCTCAATACCCTGAGTTGGACCTCATCTTTATTCTCGCATTTCCAACTCTGGGCTTGTTTCTTCTTTTAGATTTTTTTACAATAGAAAACTCCCCACATCGCACAGAAAGCAAAAGCTTCATGCCATCTTGGCCCACTCCACACTGTGGCCAGGAAAATCCAGGCTTTGTCGTTTCTGAGGATGCTTCTGGCCCCTGCCTCACTGCAGGAAGTACCTCTAACTATCTGACTTTGATCTCAGTCCCCATCTCTACAGTGCAGCTATCACCCACTGCAAAGCAGCACAGGCATGAGCCTGCTCCAGGTCCCTCTGAGCCACAGCAAGCTGTGTCCCTCAGGCACCTGCCACTCACCCTGTTCTCTGGAGATGTCAGGTTTGTACCAGTATTTGGAAGTGTCCTGGACAAACTTCACTTTGGCTCGTGTCTCGGGGCTGTTGTCTACAGGAGAAGGAAACAGGATGTTAGGGGTATGCTGTGCTGAAACCCTAACTCCCGAGACCTGTGAAGGCAGCCTCACTTGGAAATAGGATCATTGCAGATGCCATCAAAGTCAGGTGAGGTCACAGTGACCCTGGCTGACTGGGGACCTTAGGAGTGAGAGGCATGGACGCAAGCAGAGATTGGGTCCTTGTGTCTACCCAAGATACCATGGATCAATAGCCAGCAATCAGGAGAAGCTCGGAGACAGACTGGGACATGTCCCTGAGAGCTTCCAGAAGGAACCAATGCTGTGACACCTTGACTTTGGATGTCTAGCATCCAGAACCATGAGAGAATGCATTTGTGTGGGGCTGGGTGAAGGCTGCTTTGGAAACAAGCACGGAAAGTTTGGGTCCCCAAACGCCCCCCAGCACATTAGCAAGAATCCAGAGCAGCCTCCTCTCCCAAGCATGGCAGTCTGTGCTGCAGGTGCAAGAAAGATAAGGGAGCAGACTCAGAGGCAGGCTGGGTCACCATGGTCTCGCCAACTGCAGCTTCTTTTTGACACTTGCTTGGGCTGCTGGGGTCTGTGTCTGAGAGTAGGTAAGGAGGGACCAGAGAGGAGGTCAGCTCCCAGTCCTGGCAGCTGTCCACTCAGCTGCTGCAAGCTGCCTCTCTCTGCACTGAAGCCCCAGGCCCCTGCTGCTGGCTGTGGCTGTCTAATGAGCTGTCAGAGGCGGCTGCAGCCCCATGTGCCTTCCTGTGTTGACTCCAAAGGCTATTTTAAGCAAAGAAGATGGTGGGAAACAGGAAGTGGCCCAACTCCTAGAAATCTCGCATCCTTCAAGGAGCGAGGCTGGGAACCAGATGTCCTTGGTGGGCGGCAGGAAGCAGGGAGGGGGAGTGGTGCGGGGTCACTTTAGGTGTCTCAGCTTGGCCAGGCTCAGGGTCAGACCAGACATGGCCCAGGCAGAAAGTGGGTGCTAGGAACCATGCCTGGCCACCTGAAACAGGCCCAGCATGCCCAGTGCCGTAAGACTACTCTGCACACTGCCAGATCCAAAGTTGGACGACGAAGCTGGTCAGCAGCATGGGCTTGACCTTGTGTTTAGCTAATGAGCGCTCTGCCAGGAAAGCAAAGACGCCAAGCTCTGCTTACAGGGGAAGGATTCACCTTGCAACCCCTGCATGGGCTTCCAGAGGCCAGATTTTCAGAAACCAGACCCCAACCCTTGACCTCAGCCCATTTCACATCTGGCTGTGGGCACTGGGATGCTAAAGTCACCTGTAAGCTGCTAAAAAAAAAAAAAAAAAGAACAAACTCCAGTGATGTTTTAGTTTGGGGCCTGAAAGGGAAGTTTAGCTCTGCTGCTTATTAAGTGTATGACACCAGACAAACAGCAAGAACTTCTATGAGCTTCAGTCTGCTTGTGTGTAAAATGTGGCAAGAAGACCTTTCCTCGGCAGTCATGGTGATTAAATGAGACAGGACTCAGCCATCCACAGAATCTGGCACACAGCATGTGGTGGTGGTAATGATCACACCAGTAACAGCATTTACTACCACGATTTTCACCAGCGTCATCCAAAGCCACAGCACCCTCCTACTGCACAGACACGGCACCTGAGGCCCAGAAGTCCGTGATTTCCTCAGGGAGCGTCAGAACAGAATGGGAGCAGGGCCTTCACTCTCAGGCTCCATTCACCTGCAGGAGAGGCGGGGACTGGGGAGAGGCCCACCTGGCATGGAGTACTTGGAGAAGTCGGGCAGAGTGTGGGAGAACGACACAGTGCTGCTGCCGCTGGGGCTGGACATGCCGCTGGCCACAGGCGAGGATGACACCTTGCCATTGATGGTGGCATAGTTGGGGAGGCTGCCAGCTCGGTCCCCTACTGACATCCTCCGCTTCTCTGGCAAGGCCGGAGTGGGGCTCCCTTGCCGGAAGGCTGCAGAGTCCGGTGACGGGGAGGTGGCAGGGCTGCTCAGGCCTGGGTAGTAGGCAGGGGAGACGGGGAAAGAGGGCGTGGCAGGAGCTTGGTAGCCGGACGCACTGCTTTGCCGGGACAGCGTGGGTCTCCCATCTTCAGGCGTAGAGTAACCACCATAGGCCACATGCCGGTCCAAGCTGGGGCTGCCAGGAACCACAGATCCAGACCCTCCCAGGTGCCGGCCCAGGCTGGGGCTTCCAGGGCTTCCCATTGCGTTGCCATGGAGACTGGAGGTCAGGTTGCCCTGGTGGACCCCAGGGTGCCGGCCTAGACTGGGGCTCCCTGGAGTGGTTGCTGCACTGCTTGAGTGGGGGCTGGAGACCACATTACCATGGAAACCAGGCCCCTGTGGCCCCATCACATGGCGATGGCCTAAACTGGGGCTGCCAGGGGCAGCCATGCTGGGGTTGATGGCCCGCCGGCTGAAACCAGGGCTAGGGGGAGTGTTGGTGCCCACTGTCCTGTGGCGTGCCTGGGGGCTACCTGGCACCGTGTGGATGCCAGCCACGCTGAACTGAGGCCGTGCCTGGCTTTCCGGAGCCGAATTCAGCTGCTGGAGTGAGTAGTCAGGACTGTAGCCACTGCCCACAGTGGCTGGGAGAGGAGACGAGCTCTGGTGGCTCCTCCGGCCAGACAGTCCGGGCTGCGCCAGGTTGCCAGAACGGAAGCCAGGATCCAACGAAGGCTGGGTGGGTGTCCGGGGGCCCTGGTCACTGTTCTCCCCTGATGGGATGCTCCCCACGGAGGTGCTGGAGAGAGATGGGCAGGGTGGCAGGTTGGAGAGGGGATGTGGAAAGGGTGGTCTCCCAGTGAGGACTGCCTGCTTCCAGCAGCCCCTGCAGTCCCCCTGCAGTCAGCATCTGCATGGGTTCCTATCACTCTATGGCATTGTGAAAAGCAGCTGAGACTGCTTTGCATGGTAATGAGGCACCTGTCCCTAGGAGTATGTAAGCAGAAGCTGACCCACTGGCCTGCTGGTCAGGAAGGGAACTTCCTCCTTGGGAAGGTTAGATTAGATGAGCTCAGAAGTTGCTCCCAATTTGAAAATGCTGGTCTAATTCCCCTGGGAAAATAGCCACAAAGGTTCCTCTGTGAAGCTGGGCACCTGTCCATATTGTGGGACACAAGAGAGAGCTGGACAGGGTGACGCAATGGCCTGGGAGCTGGTCACCTGCATTCTGGTCCTTCAATTGGAAAGTGAGAAGGCTGAATTAGCAGACCTTGACTAGACCAGACGCACTCAGGCAAGATACGGCCAGGGAGAGCAAGGTTAACAGGCACATGCTGTCTGCAGCAGTGCAGGGAGGCAACTGGTAGACCAAGCACCAGGGCCCCCTGGGAGGGGTCCTTATAGCCAATGGGCCTGAGCCTGGAGCTGCAGCAGCAAGGAGGCTTGGAGTTGGCAGGCCCCTCCCTGGGTGGATGCCTCTGCATTTCCTGGGTGATATGAGATTTGGGGAGGGTTAGCTGTGGGCCAGGCAAGAGCCAAGGGCAAGGAGAAGATTGTGGGGTGGGGGGCAGCAGGCAGGACAGAGTCTCTCAGGTACCTAGGAGGAGCTAGAAGGGAGAGACACCACGTGATAGGGAATCTACCTGAGGACCAGGAGGGCCAGAGAGAATGTGGTAGACTGAGCAGGGACTGGGGTTAGGGCTACTGAAGTGGAGATCAGGAAGTTGCATCCCACATTAGAGATGCTGACTTCTGGAGCCTGCAAAGGGCCAACACCATGGCTGAGCAACGTGAGTGAGAGCCAGGAAGGTTAGGATGCCCAGAACCTCAGCAGCAGTGGTGGGGGCACATCAGGGAGAGCCTGTCTCCTGAAAACAGGGACACTCTGCCAGCCAGATGTCCTGAACAGTGAGGCCAGGAGAGGCACCAGGGGCTGGGCATGGGGTGGGGTGCATGCTTGGCTTAAGGAGCTGAGCCAAAGCAGGGCAGGCAGCAAACTCAGCCCACCAGGCCTGGCTTGTGGCTGCACAGGTAAAGACCATAGGAGTGGCGAGCTTGCAGGCCCTGCCCCCACCATGTCTCAGACTGGAGACACCCACAGATAGACGTCAGTATCCATCTACCCAGACACATTCACTCAAAGGCCTCTTGCTCCCAGAACCATGCACCTGGCCCACACACATCCTGCAGTCCTCCATCCTGGCCACGTTGTCCTTTGGGTGTGTTCTTCCTCCTCCTCTACCCTACAGCATCCTGCCTGTCCTCTGCCCCTGGCCAGAGTGAGTGGTCCCTGCTCTGAGCTCCATGCATGGTCCTTATTTGTCAGCTTTGGGCATAGCCAACGCTCACCCCACAAAGGGCAGGCACTAGGATACAGATCAGGGGACAAGATGAGTTTGCTGGGGTGGCAGGATGGAAGGAACTCTGCAAACCATATGCCTTAGGTATGGATCTGACTCCTGTAACCACTTAGCACCAGACCTGCCACAAGCTTCCTTCACCTCTGTACACCATTTGCCTGCCTGGCTCAGAGACAGGAATAATGAGAGCATGGACCGCCCAGGATCACTGGTCTCTGGCAAACTCACTGTGTATTCACAGTGCTGCTAGCTTGGTACTGCTCTTTCTTTCCAGCACAGCTCTGGGCAGGTGGAACTGAGCACAGCCTGGGCACCCCAGCTCACTCACCCTGGGGTTTCCCCAAGAGATTCAGTACCCTGGGGGTGCAGTGCCCTCTCAGCATGCCTTGATGAGGGAGTCTGAGAGGCATACTTCAGTCATGACTTCTGCCTATCCAAGCCCAAGGCGGATCCAAGAGCCCTCTCCCCAGGGAACTGCCCCGGTTCCGGCCTCTCACACCATCTGCTCCCCGATTCCTGATTCCCAGCTTACCTGTCAGCTGTGAGAATAGGGCTGCTGGTGGACAGAGGGCTGGGGGAGGCAAAGGAGCCACCCGGGGTTCCATTCCGCAGGGGCACATCAGGGCCGTAGGCCTGGGCAGCCGGGGTGCTGAAACTCTTGGGCTCGGGGTCCTGGGCCCGGGGCCCAGCCACCGCTGTGCGTGCAACCGATTCCACATAGCTACGGGGCTCTGTAGGAGGCAAGGAACAGACTCTGAACACAACCCTATGGGGGCATGGCCCCTGGCCACCCCTGCAGGGGACATGGAACCCAGAAACATCCCTGAAGGATGCAAGGGGCAGGTCCCAGGGGCCCCCTCCTGATCCCCCTATTTAATCCTGGGCTTGCCCCACCCCAGCCTTAGGCAAGCCAGTGCTCAGACCAGCAATTCAGAAATGAACCCCACTCTGCCTTTGGATGTGGTCACCAGAGACTCTTCCCTGCAGAAACTGTACTACTCTCTGAAGCTATTCTACCCCCAGACAGAGCTAGATGTTCTGGGGCCCACCTCAGTCAGGGTGCATGCCAGCATCCCAGCCTGCAGATGCAGGACTGGCTCTGGGTGGCCCAGAGAGGGACCAGAGCCTGTGGCGATCCCCAGAACCTCTGAGCCAGCCCCTCCAGGTTCTTGGTAATGATACCAATAGCAAAGAATTGTGTGAGGAAAGCAAGATCTGGGGAGAACAAGGGCCCAGCATCCAGGCACTGGAGATCTGGCCCAGAATTCCCCTGCCCACAACACAGATAACCATCTTGTAAATCAGGGATTCGATGGTTGAAACCATCTTGGAGAGCTGGATTCTGACCCTGGACAAGAAGGGGAGAGGGGCCACCCTCAGGAGCACCTTCAGAGGGATGCTGACCCAGAGAGCCACATGAGATGCTGGGCTAAAGCACCTCCTACCCTGCCTTGTCCAGGGTCGTTCTGTAGGACAACTCCTCCTGACATGGCTTTATCAGGCCCCTGCAGCATCTGCAACTCCCTTCTCTCCCACCTAGAGACAGCCTGGGATCCTAGGAGGGATCCTGGAGTGCCCACAGCATGCACTACCCACAGCAGAACCCTCCAGGCTAACAGACGCATGGCCCTCCCCCTGTGGCACCATGCAGGGAGCACAACAGGAGCCCCAAGTACACATTTGTGTTAGTTGTGTTAAACCTCACAAATGACAGCCTGCAGGCCTGTGCTCACCTACCACCCACTGAGGCTCTGCTAGCCCATGGCTCCCTCCCACCCAGCTGCTGGAGGCCTACGTGTGCCTGCTAGGTCACCCAGATGCTCTGGGCCTGTGGCTCCAGATGGCCTTGGCCTTCAGCCACTAGTGGGGAATGGCCAATGGCTGCATCCTTCTCCCCAAGGTCACAGCTTTGGCCCGCAGCCCTCTTTGCTCTCCTATGCTTCCTTCAGTCCTGGGGTGGGCAGTTCCCTGTCCTGCCTCCATCATTCCTCTTGGTCTACTAGGCCTGCACAAAATCCACTCACCTCCCCTCAGTTGCCCCTTGGGGGATGAGCTGCTGGTTCACCACCAGAACCCTCACATAGTTCTGTTGTAAATGGTCTTGAGCTGCCAGCTGTGAACCTAACCATGAATTTGCACAGGAGGCCAGTGGGACAATGCAGTAGCCCTCCCTGTCCCCTCCTCAACCACAGGAAGCCAGAAGAGTTCTCAAAGAACAAGGAGTCAGAACCCTAGGGATAGGACCATCCTCTGAGAGGGACAGCAGTGTCCCTTCCCACCAAGTATGATGGAAACAGCTTGTGTGTACAGGGTGGGGCATGGGGGCAACAGAGCCAAGGCCACTGGGAATCCAGCCCCCCACCCCAGCCTACGCCTCGTCACCTCCCTTTTCTCCTCCCAGTCCACGTCCTCTTGCAGGGAGCAGGTACCCCCTCCCTGCTCCTCCAGTCCCAAGTCATCAGGTTGAATCAAGTACAGCCCTTCCGGGCCATTTCCATTCTCAGGAGTCTGAGCAGCAGTGACCTTTGGTTGTTTGAAAACCAAGCCGTGGGGTGCATGCCAGTTCTCCCAACTTGTCAGATGCAGATCTCCCACGTGAGTTGCTTTTGCTTTGTCCGTCTGTCCTGGGCATTTTGCCACCCTGGGCACGTTCACACCCACAGGCTTGCCATTCTTTCCTTGACCAGAACCTTTCCGGGACTTGGTGTGCTTAACCATGAAACTGGAACAAGCACCCCCACCTGCCTGGCTAGGATGCAGTGATCAGAGACCATAGCGGTCTCTGGCTCCTCCCTGCCAGGTGTGGTCCCAGGGTACAGTGGGCAGCCTATGTCCCAAGCTGTGGCTGCTCTTGCCTCCACCTCTCTTCTTGCACCCTCCCTGCTGCTGTTTCCCCTTGTCTCCTCCAGTCCTGGAGCAGCTGCACACATGAGCAAGGGGTGCTAGGAAAGTCAGAGGTGGGGTCAGGCAGGGTGCTTCAGGTGCAACGTCCCAAGGACCCAGGAATGACTCAGTTCTGTGTTCTCCTCCAGCCCAGGACAGCGATGCTCTCCATCTACACTCCCTGACCATGTTCTCAGCCTCCTAGAAAAGGCTCTTGCCCCTTAGAGAAAGCAGCCCAGCCTAAGGAAGAGGGAGGCATGTGGGAAGAAGAGAAAGGAAGAAAGATCCAGACACCGGAGGGCAAAAGTTATCATTGAAAACCATCCAGATGGGGCCAGCACTGCTCCTCCAAGCCTCCACGTACCCTGCTTCTGCTTTGGCTCAGCTCTTGCACCCTGTGGCCAGGCTGCCCTATTTGTCTCTCTACCTTCAGTGCTGTGGCCCTAACAAATGCATCACATCTGCTACAGTGCATGAAAGCCCAAAAGCCTCAGACATTCCTTACTGGAGGAGGAGGACTGTGCAGCAAACTGCTCTTACCCCTCTGTCCTCCTTTATGCCAACTCTGCCCACTCCTGTCCACCTGGGCATACAGAGCCCACCCTGAATACTCCGTGCTGTGGACAGAGAAGCCTAACATGGGCTGACACACTCACCATTGCAGGTTTCTACTTCACCTTCATGGGGAAGGACCCTGGTTCACCATACCCAATCAAGTCGATGTGGAATGCTCCTGTGCCCAGTGCAGTCACATGGGAAGGGGCAGCCTGCATGTGCCCATTCTACACATATGCTCAGTTGTATTCCCACCTGACTGTGGTTCTGGACAATTCACCAAACCTCCCTAGCCATCATCTCCTGAGTAGCAAAAATGGGTCATTAGTACCAATGTTGTGGCAAGTGGGTTAAGCTACAGCCTGCACTGGCAGAGTCCCAAAAAAGTACCAGTTGAATCCTGGCCACTCCACTTTCAGTCCAGTTCCCTGCTAATGCACCAGAGAAAGCAGCAGAAGATGGTCCAAGTGCTTAGGCTCCTGCCACCCACATGGGAGTCCCAGATGGAATTTCACATTCCTGGCCTCCTTATGGGCATCTGGGGAATGAACCAGTTGATAAAAGATCCCCTCTGTGTCTCTCCCTTTCTCTCTGTAACCCTTTTAAATAAAGAAAGAAATCTTTAAAAACATGAATAAATAAAGACAGGTTACTATCACCTTCCTCTTGCCATACCTATAATTACTAAATAAAACAAGACAGTGACTCCATGTAGTCTGGTCCCTCACTACAAGCCATACACCCCCATATTCCATACTCTAGCCTCACTGGCTTTGCAATTCCTGGATAAGGCACGCTATTTTTACATTCCAGGGCCTTTACATATGTCAGCCCATTCATGTGCAATGCTGTTCCATCTAAGTTTCACCAAATGAGTGTCAATCCCACCTACCTCTTCCTTAACCTAAGTCACCTTCTTTGACATACCATGGTGTGAACTGCAGGATTTCCTTCCAAAGTACCTATCTCTCAATAGTTCTGAGTGACCATTTAAAGCCCCTGCCCATACAATCCATAAGACATCTCGCTAAACTCAGGATTCTGCCACATTGCCTGGCACACACTGCCTGGTACACAGCAAGTGCACAGAACATTTAAAGAGTATACGTATCCGTGAGTGAAAGAACAAAAGCATGCAAAGCAGTGAGCACAAGTCCTCCAACTCAATAATCCTGTCCCTGGTCATTTTCCCTCAGAGGAAAAAGGAATGAATATTCTCCCAAATTTCCCATCAAAATATCAGCAAGAAAATCAAGCAACAGCCCCTGAAGGTCAGCAAAAAAATGTGCTCTTGTATGACCCGGGAGGCGGTGCATGACTCAGGAAATCTGGGACTGGCTGCCCACGACCGTGCTCCCTGCCCCACACTGGCCTTGCTCCCCAGCCAGCAATTCCGACGCCCACACTGGAATCCCAGAGCTGCATGGTGCCTGGAGGACAAGGAGAGCTGAGGCCACTGGCCTGGGAGACAAAGGGCGTAGGGGTGGGGCCTCATGCCTCATTCTGTTGCCTCTTTACTGTGCCTGTGGGTGCATCACTTGCCCTAATCACACAGGAATCTGGGCTCCACATTTGTGACAAGGACAGATGCTGCTGGGTCTGTGCCTAAGACCTTTCTCCCTCAAGACCATGTGGCTCTGGAGCACGTGGAGGCCCAGAGTCATTTGTGAGACTGGGCACATCAGCCTGTGGGCTGCTCTGCCCCTTGCCCTACACAGCACCAGTCTGGAGTGGAGAGCTGACTGCCGGTTACATGGTTGGTATGCAACTGACACCCAGGATCAATGGCTCAGTTTCCTCTACCCACTGCCTCCCAGCTTCTTTGCATGGGAGCCAGAGGTCAGCCTCCTGCCTGGGGAGAGCTGTGGCCAGCAGATACAAGTGTGTTATAATCCTGTTCAGTCACCCAAGCAGCCTGATGGCACCCAGGCCTGGGTAAATCAAAGATGGACAAAACCTCCAACCATTTCACCTGGGTGATGATAGCAGATGCAGACAGACACAGGCCATGCCCACATGGGGTGGGGCAGAAATCAAGGTGGTAAATACACAGCCAAGGGGGAAGGGACTACCTAAGTCAGGGCCCAAGTGGGAAGTCAGGGCACCTAGCTCATGAGAGTTAGAGGGGACCTCACGCCCACCTGGTCCAACCCTTCCTGGTGGGAAAGGCGATGCCAGTGCTCAGCTCCAACAGCCCAGAAGTGGGGCACAGGGACAATGTTCCCTCAGGGAATGTCAGCCACGCTGCTTTGTGACACCCTACAGTGCATAGGGCAGTTCTGCCAACCCCCAACACACACACACACAAGATAGTGTCTGGCCCACACTGTCCCCCGCATGCAGTGGTTGAGACCCCTTCACAGAGGTGCATGACGGACATGAACACAAGCCCCCACCCCCCGTTCTTCTATGGATGGTCACACACTCAGCAGGGCTGGTGCAGGTACCACTGGGACACGAAGCACATCTTTTATCAACAAACTGGCACAAGCATCTGCAAGCTCCCCAGACAGGACTCAGGTGGTGCCCAGGAAGATATCTCATGGCCAGGGCATGGGGACAGGAAGGCTCTGTGCCTGGTCACTTGAGACCTGGTCTGAAAGGAGAGCTTGCCCCGAGCCAGCCTTGCCTAGGACGCAGGGACAAAGCCATCGCTAGACCCAGGGGGCGGAGCGGCCGCCGCCAGCCTGCACTTACCTTCCGGAAGCTTGGCCACCACTTTTCCCTCATCTTCCTCTGAGGGAAGATGAAAAGGGAAGTGGGAGGAAGAAGAGGCAGGACAAAGGGGCAGGTGATGGAGATGGGAGGCAAGGGCCAAAGGAGAAAGAAAGAGAGAGAGATTAACAGGGATTGCATCACAGGAAAGAGAATTAGCTGAGAAAAGGCCAAGTGGGAAGCTGGGAAGAGCTAAGGGGAGAGCTGACATCCCCAGATAAGATTCCAGGGCTGCAGGTGCAGGTGGACTGATGCTTGTGAGCCTCAGCTCAGGAGCTCCTGTGTGCCCAGCCTCAAGAAGCAGTGTGCTGGCTGGTGGGAGGCAGCCCTCAGCCCTTTCCCCAACCACTCGCTGGTGACTCAGTATCCCCAGCCATGCCAACCTCTCCTGAGCAGGAGGCTGTGCCCACCGTACACCTGCATGGTCACGTGTGCATGCAGTGCCCGCCTACCTGGTCGCAGCAACCTCCTGGAGACTAAGGGGAAAAGGTAGAGGTGACCCCCAGAGTTGCAGCCCAGCCCCCAACCCAGAGTCTAGGGAGCAGTGTGCTGGGCTCAGCAGACTCCGGATTGCCTCTCGGGGCCCAGGGCTTCCTCTCTCCCTTGCTACACAGGCGTAGAGGAAGCCAGGAGCTGGAGAGGGGAGGCTGACTATGGGCGGCAGTCCACGGTGGAGGATGACCCCCTCCCAAAAGGCCCAAGGCTGTGGCCAGGATGGGCTGAGTCACTCTGGGGAGCAGGGCGCCCAACTTCAGGCCTCACATCCAGAGTCCAATGATGCCAGTATCAGCAAGAGGGGACAAGTAGGGTCTGGGGCCTCAGGGACCTTCCACAGGCAGGAAGGCCCAGGACTGAGCATCAGAGGGTCAGAGAGGTGGCAGGCCCTATGAAACCCTCGGAATGAGCATGGCTAGGCCTAGACTCCCAGGAATGCTCATAGTAGAAACAGGTGGACTGCAAATGGAACCCTGGCACAGGACATACTTCCCTGGTAGTGTGCCTGTATGTGTGTATGTGGTAATGCGCATATGTGTGTAAACATGTGTATGTGGCTTGTGTACCTGAGTATGTGTGTACATGTATATGTGTGCACACATGTATATGTGATACATGTGTGTCCGTGCATGTGTGAATAGGTATGTGACTGTGTGTGTGTGTGTGTGTGTGTGTGTGTGTGTGTGTGTGTGTGTGTGTGTGTACACACATACAAGTCTCTGAATACTGGAGGACAGGGGAGCCAGGCACTAGCACACAATGAGCAGGACAGTTTGTGTCCTCTCTAAGGATACCGAGTGCAGGCCCAATCTCCAAGTCACAGGAGCCCAGAAGGGGCACCAACTCTACCAGTCGACAGGCAGGACGTCAGCAGAGCGAGTGGTCACCCTAAGTCCTATGTGCACAGCCCCATGCAGACCTAAGCTCAGTGTAGGCACTGAGTCCACAATCACCCCTTCTCCAGGAAGACCCTGGGGACCTTCACATGCTGGGTGCCTTCCTGCGAGACCCTGAGGTCCCACCCCTGCCTGCAGCCTCCTTCCTCCCTGCCTCCTGGAGTCCCCCGAGTCACTCACCACCCGTGGGGTGCAGCAAGATGTCCGCAGGGTTGTGAGGCTTCAGGCCCAGAGCCGACAGTGGGGTCTTCGCCAGACCTGGAGGGGAGCGTACTGCCCCAGGAAGAAGAGGGAAGATGCCGGCATGAGACGCCGGTTGGCGGTAGGGAACCACACACAATGCCAGGAGGAATGAGCCCCAAAGTGCCTCTGTTTCATGCATGTTGCAATGGTTGGCAGGAAGCTGCCATCGTCTACCAAGGTCACCCACTCGATGTGCAGGCCCAGGGTCCCTCCCAGGCTGCCCATCTGGGTTACCAGGGTCACATAACACACAAGGTCAGAGAGGGCTGTCAGTCAGCTTTGGCTGCCAAGGACATGGTTCAATGCCCAGTCACGAGCTGCTCTGGTGGCAGCTGCCATGCCTCCTAACACACCTCAGTGGAGGAATGCAGACACAAGCCCTGTGCCTCCTTTCAGGCCACCTGCTGCTTGCACAGCAACCTCAACTGTCTGGCACTGGCCCTCAGCCCCCTGCAAGCCATGCAGTAGCAGTATGGCTCTCTCAGACTCAAAGCATTTAGAATACCATGGACACCCTTCACAGAAGAAACAACGCTGAGCTTCATATGGAACCACAAAGCAATTGTGAACCAAAGAAACAGAACTGGGGGCATCACAGTGTCTGACTTCAGGCTGTCATAACCAAAACAGTGTGGTGCCATCATGAACGCAGACATATGGGTCAGTGGGAAAAACAAAACAAAACTGAGAACCCAGAAATGAACCACACATTTGCTGCCTACTTCCTATCATAATACCTTGCTCACAGAATTTGTCAAATGGCTGGACAGTTGGACATTGCTAATTAGGAGGGAATGAACCCAGCCTAGAGACTGCTACCCACAGCATGACCACTGCATAGCTCCAGCCCCTGAGTATGCACATACATGACTGACAGGTACAGCAGAGGGACAGGCGGGAAGACAAAGAAGCCAGGATGAGTGATTGTGGAAGCTTCTTTCAGTTTCCCCCTGCCCAGTTCCAGGCAATGTGGCCCTTCTGCTTGACAGATGAGGGGGTGGCACTAAGGTTGGGCAGCCTGCTGCTTGCTCGGGGATTCCTTGCATTTTCCCCACCTGCTATCCTTGATGCCCCCAGCCTTATGTACCGATGAAATCTCGACTTCTCCTTCTCTCCAAGGCTGGAGGTGAGTGTGTGGAGAGAACGCAGCAGAACTCAGCTCCAGCATGGATTGCATCCCTTCCATCCCAGAGAGCATGCTGTCCAACGCTTGGCCACCAGGACCCGACGGTGAACGGGAACAGGTGTGAAGGTCAAGGTTGAGAGTCTGCTGAGCCATCAAAGGCCACAGACTGGCTATCAAGTGAATTCCTTGTACCACCCAATAGAGCAGGTGTGAGCCACCCATGGGCACTGAGTGTCTGCAGTGTGGCCAGCCTGAACTGATGTGCCCAGAATACATACCAGATGCCATGCAGGGGGGGAAAGGGACCCAGAATACATCATCTTCATAGTAATTATATGTGGAGAGAATTTTTACATAAGTCAAATATATTACTAAAAGAAATTGCTATCAGTCCCTTCTCATATTAAAAAAAAAGGTTGTACAAGATCTTTATATTGATTTATCTTTATATTGATTTACCTAATCAAATGGGAGTGCTTCCCATCTTAAAAATATTACTGAAATGAAGGCCACCCATTTCCTGTTGGGCTTTCTCACACAGCTACCAGAGACATTTAAATGGCAAACTTGTCCCTGTCGCTTTTCCCCTGGGCAGTGCTACCCTAGGGCAAGCCATGGTTTCCAGGGTCCTCCATTAATCACAACTACAGCCTCCTACATGCCCAAGATGGGAGCCAACACAAGCCCTGCTGGCAAAAGGCCCAGGAGTTGTTACTGCATTTTCTCCCCTGTGCACAGCCTGCTTTGTCCTTGCTCACCTCCTCTCTCACTGGGCCAGATGGACAATTCATGTCCGGCCCAGCCAACCCCATCACAGACCATGTCCTGTGTCCCTGCTTCCTCTGTTATCACAGGCCTCTCCTGAGGACCCTGTGTGCCTCCCAGCTGGTCTAGCCCCATCACTGTATCCCACACAACTACCTTCTCCACCATCTACCTCCTGGCTTTCCTGCCTCTGCTCTGGGCACACCTGGGGCTTCTTGCTGAGTTGGACCTGCACCGACCCTGTGGGGATTGGTCTCTCAGGTAAGTATGTAGGGGTGCTGCAGATTCAATGACCCGTCTGGGAGGTCCATAATGGATGAGAGGCATGTTTTACCAGCCTGAGGGTCCTGAACCTTTCCTTTCTTGGTGAAAGCTAACTAGAACACAGACAGAAAGGGGGTGCAGATCAAAGTCAAGGTTGAGCCATGAAGAATTACTTTTGAGTCATGGGCACCTTGAGTCAGAACAAGTAGGAAAACTCCGTGAGTTCCTCATCAGCAGGCCTGCATCCTCAGGCCAGGGCTGCCACACCCACAGTGGTGTGAGCCTGGTCCAGGGGCAGACAATGAGCACTGTGGTAGAAGTTGGGAGGAGGAGGGCATTAACTGACACATGGAGCAAAGAAGCCTCCCACCTTCACCAACACATGCTTCCCAACCCATCCCCACACAGGTCAGGATAGAGATGAGGGATGGGAAAGGGTGAGGGGTGGGAGAGGGTGGGAAATGCCAAGCTGAGTAGGTGCTCTTACCCCCACTGGGCGGTGTGCTGGTTGGGGAGGATCCCTCTAGCTCCTCGAAGGCCTCTTTGTAGCTGTGCAGGTGGGGCTGCAGGAAAACAGGGGGAGTAGGGGAAAGCCTAAGAAGGAGGGGTTTGCGCTTCCCATGCCCAGGGTCTGGAGATTGAGTCAACATCCCCAGCTCAACCACCCAGTGCTGCTCACACAGTGTACATAGCATAGGAACAACTGTTACTAGCTGAGAGAATAAGGAGTGGCTACCGACAGGACCATGGTCAAGTCCAGGCAGAACTCAGGAGCACCTGCCTTGGAAATATTTCAGAAGGGAGCCAAAGAGAAAAGGCCAGGGTGGGGCAGGTATGCAGACTTGGGTCCTGCCAGAATATAGAAAAGCTGGCCAGGACTATGAACATCTAGACTACCCTTGAGTCTGGATTTTACAGATAGTACAGTATCTCTTTCCCTGTAGTCCCTGGGCTACATGCATCAGAGCCTCCAAAGATGGAAGATTCTTGGACACCTCCTAAATCAACACTGAAGGTAGATGTGGGAACCTACAGTTTCAACCAACTTCCTGATGCCCATCATGCAGCCCAAAGGTTGGGATCCTCTGCCTGCAACTACTGAAACGACCAAGACAAGTCAACGCTCTGGCAGGCAAAGTCAAACTCCCAAGAAAACCCTTTTGTCTGGAAAGGGCTCAAAACCATCAGTGTGTAAGATCCAGTTTGGGGTTCAGAGATGGTGCCCAGGTAGTTCATTCCCAAGATGGTCAACACCCTACTAAGGGACTATCCTTAGGAATCAAGAAGGGAAATTTAATCTCAATATTAACGTACAAAACAGGGCACAAAAGCTATTTAAGGAAGAGAAGAGGTCCAGATTCCACACTGGGTGAGGCTGGAGGAAAAACTGCACTAACAGTGCCAAGGTGAATGTCAAGTGCCCAGGAAGAAAAGGTAGACTCTACCACTCCAACCTGGAACCACAGGGCTCCGGGTAGCATCTCTGGGACTCACCTCCTTGGGCCTCCCTCCAGGATTGAGGGCGATAGTAAGAGCCAGCTCAGGGGAGACACACTGGACAGGGGAGCGAACCCCAGGGCTCCGGGGTGATGTGGCTTCCGGAGACTGGTTCTCGTACTGTCCATCGCTGGCTGCCCGCCTCCGGAGTGGAGCAGCAGGCTCAGCAGGCTGCTTCTCCCGAGCCTGCACCCCTAGGGGGAATGGCAGGACACAGAGGGCCATGAGTGGGTCGTGCAGGGGACCAGCAGCCTGATCCCCCACCCCCACCCCAAGAGAGAGCAGCAGCTCTCTTGGGTTTAAGGGTATGTCCCTTCAGCACTTCCCCCCACTCCTGGGTCTGGGTCCAACTCCTCTCCAAGCCCAGGCTCCAGGCTTTCTCTCTCTCTCTCTCTCTCTCTCTCTCTCTCAATCTCTCTTCAGGGGGTGGGGGAGATGTGCTCAGACTGGGCAAGAATCTCTACTGCACACAGGGCTGGGACTCAGAGCACAAAGGCCTGATACAAGAAACAGATGTCAACTCCTTCCAACACTGGGAGGCAGAAGGCTGAGGCTTCCAGACAAGGGAGGGAAGGTGGAGGGAAGTCAGCAGCTTCTCCAAGGCAACTGCATCAACCAACAGCAACACCAAGCCCCGGGGAAGAACTTTTGGAAAGAGCTGAGTTGCATCATCTCACAAATGGTGCATCCAAGGGAAAACAAAGAAAAGCTGTGGGCTGGGCTGGGCTGGTTGTGGGGCCCTTGGGGTGCTGCTGGATTCTCTGGGCTTCCCTTCCTTTCCCCAGAGCACACCTCTGAGCCCCTGTACCAGCTTGCCTGACCTGGGACAAAGACCCCAAAGACAGCCCAGGAGCCTGCCCTGCCCCTATGGTCCAGGGATCCTTCTGCTTTTCTGCTCTTGCCCTCCCTCCCACAAGCCTGGGGTGTGACACTCACCCAGCTTCCTGCCCACTCCCTTGCCCCACAGCTGGGCGAAGGCCCAGAATCCATTGCCTCATCAAGCTGCCTTTCAGGATCCCAGAAAGAGCATTTCCTGGGTCCCCAGGGCCAAGACCCAGCCCAAAGGCTGGGCTCCCAGTCCTGGCAATCTTTCGACAGGGAGCAGAAGATTTTCAACTCTTGCCTTTGCTGCTGTTAAGGACTTATCAAGGGTCTCAAGCGACAAGTGGCAATGCCCCTGAATATGTATCCCAAGACATAGTCCCATGGCCCATGTGGGAGCCTATACCTGCACAGACATGCGCACACACACACACACACACACACACACTCCACTCCCAGCCACTTGCCAACACAGCCAATTTACCTTTTCTACAGCCACTTACTCTCCACCATTCACAGTGGGCTGTGGGTCTGCAGGCAGCACCAGCACTCCCAGCATGGCACGTGAGGCTGCTGCTAACAGTGCCTATCACAAAAGGCTCTGTGCTTGTCCCATATAGCAGGGCTGCTGGCAGCCCAGTCCAGGAGTGCTCACACATGCAGTACATCTGACACACAGGGAGGGCACCAAGCAGGATACAGAACTGCACAGCCAAAAGAGCCCTAGGGCTGGGCCCAGACCTTATTCTGCTGCTCATAGACCGTTCTGTGTCCAGCTCCTAACTTCTTAGAACCCTGCTTGCCACCATAGGGGTTACACCAGTCTCCCTCAGAGGGAGGGAGGACGTAGCTTTTAAAAAGCAGAGCGATTCCCTGGAACCCCACAGCTGCTCCTGGCTCTCAGGCCTCAGAGGAGTCCTCCCACTTCCCCCCACCCCCATTCCACCCCGCTTCTGGGCCTCCCGGGCAGCTTGGACTAGAGCTGCTGTGGTTTCAGTCCTTGCAAAAACTCTACAGAGAAATGGACTGAGCCATTGATTTTCCAAGAATGTTGTGCCCAAGGAGGCTGTTGAGGTCTGGAAGTGAGTCCAGCCCCAAGGTTAAAAGAAATGAAGGAGGGCATGTCTCATTCCAGGCCCACCCAGCCCCAGCAGCTCCTTGCTGGCAGCTCCCACTGCCTTTTCAAGGGATGGCACCCATCCCTTCTGAGACTCTGCTGTCAGCTCTAGAAGCTTGCGTTTGCATCCACTGGAGCTCTGGGTTTCTTCCAGTAGGAACAGGACACATCCCATGACATGTCCAGCCTTCATGTCCAGGGCACCAAAGAAATCAGGGCTACCCACAGGCAAGGCTTGTCCAAGGCCAGACTCCCAGCAATCACCTACTTGGCAGTGGCCCACACCTTCTCAATTCCTTCCCCTTGGCATACAGGTGCCCTGTGGTGGGCTGGCCAAAGGCAGGGAATTGGTCTGTTACCAATTGAGATGATGATGGGAGCTGCAGGGCACAGCCTGCCTCTGCCCAAGAGGAAGACCCCACATTCTACTCCCACAGCCACTCTCCTTGGAGTGCCCCATGGCACCAGCGGCCAGGCAGGGCCACTCATTCTTCTAACACAAGTGTCCCACTGTTGTCACCCTTGGCAGGCCCAGCGGCCCCCAAGTGCCTGGACAGCCATGTTCCCGCTCTCTCTCTCTCTTCACAGGCGGGAAGACTGGGCAGGGTGGAGGGCACAGAAGAGAACCCCCATTGTTCCCCAGCCAAGTGGGGCTGTCTGGACACAAGCGGCCAGCCAGTGCCAGACACAGAGCAGCCTCTCTTTGGTCCCAGATGCCAGCCACGATAGAAGCAGGCCTGCCCTCCCCACCCCCATCCAAAGGCTTCGCCTACTCTGTCTCCTACACAGGCAGGCAGGTACACACGCGCGCGCGCACACACACACACACAGTGCACATCCTGGACACCACAGCAATTGCAGCAGGATCTTGTGATAGATAATGGGGTATTTAGTAGGACCGCTGGCTTGTCCTAAAACATGGACAGTGAACCCCTCCCTTCCCCAGCAAGACATCATGTGACCAGAGAAAGCGGGCAAGGGGGGCTCTGAGCTGCTCTCCCAGTCAGGCAGAGTGAGGAGACCCAGGAGCAGATTGTCATAGCAAGAAAGAGGACTTTTAGTGCACACATGGATACCATGCACACCTGCACACCTGCAATTCTGATAACTTGTGGCCCTAAGGCAGAAACACACACACTTTGGCAGAATACTGCCACCCACACCCCCAGGTCACATAGACAAAGGGCCTGGGGTCACAGGCCCCGACACCCCCCTACACCCCCAGACTCGCCACCTTCACCCCCCACAGACCCAGCTCTTCTTTCCAGTCTTCCAATTTCCAGAAGACTGGCTTCCTCAGCTCCAGGTGGCAGGGCTGGGTGTCCAACTGCACGCCTGGGGCTCCGGCAGCGAGGGCATCCGGGTGGAAGGCCACCTGCTGGGCCAGGGCACCAGAAAGCCACAAGGCGGCAACCACACTAGCAGCCCTACGGCAAGCCATGCCAGCTCCCTCAGGGCAGGCCCACTACCCCAGAACCTGCCCAAACCCTCCGCCCCCCACAGCCTCAGGGCTCGCTGGACACTGCACTCCCCACCACTGGGCCGAGAAAAGGGGCATGGAGAAGAGAGGAGGAGGAGGAAGAGGCAGCCTGCTAGAGCCATCTCTCCATCACCCATGGCAGGAGAAGGTGGTCCCAGGGGACTATGGCTGCACAGGAGTCAGAGTTTATGCCACCCACGAGCCTTTCCCCAGGCTGCTCATGGCACACCTGGGGCATCTTCACCCTGACCCTAGTCTCCAAGCTCAGAAAAGCTGTGGGGAGAGGATAAGATGATTTCCTCCCTGGGGCTACAAGTCCATGGGCTCGCATGTCCAAGCAGCTAGAGGTAGATGGCAGTGGACAGTACCATCCTTGGCTAAAGTACATGACTCTAGCTGCAGAGACCTGAAAGTCTGGGGAAGGTCAAACCACTGAGAAATATACCAAGCAAGCCTGGTTCCTGTTGCTTCCCAAATTGGGAAATTGGGCTCAGAGCAGTTAAGGTCACAGGCAATGCCAGAACCAAAACCAGAGCTTCCAACTCTTGGTCATGGGTCCTGGATGAGAACAGGGTAGGAGCAGAGGTGGCACTCTGTCCCTAGGATATACCAGGAATGGTGTGCTCAGGAATAGATGCAGTAGCAGGTGCATGGGCACCACTGCCTGTCCTGAGACCTGGCTCTGCAGCTGGGTAGCCCAAAGGCCAGAGACCCTCACGGCAAAGGCCAGCCTCTCCATGGGAGACCCTAAAAGTCTGTCTAGTTGTACTAGACCCTGTTTCTAGCAGGCAAGGCCAAGGCTAAAAGCATCAGGCCCAAACCCATGCAGGGGGGCGGATACTGGCTCATGCAGGAAGGAGAGGAAGAGGGCTGGGAGGGAGGCAGCAGGTGAGAGTGAGAAAGAAGAGGGCAGTAAGAGAAGAAGGGAAGGGAATAGGAAAGATATAGAAAGAAGAGAACTTCAGGAGAGGGAGAAGAGGGGAGAGGAGGAAACGGTGAAGAAGGAAAGCAATGGGATAGGAGGAGCAGCACATGCAGGTGAGACAAAAAGAGAAACTGGGAGCGAAAAAGACCCAAGGAAGTACAGAGGGAGACATGGGAGGAAAGAACCAACCAGAAACAGAGGCAGATCGGAGCCGGTGGAGAGGAGGGGGCCAGGAGCTCTGCCCCATGCCCTGCAGCCTGGCATTGTACGCTGCCCGCCCACCCCAGGGGAGCCAGCGGGGGAGGGAAGGCAGGCAGAAGGGGCGGCACCAGACAAGGAAGGCACCCCACCAATGGCACAGGGGACAGGTAGACACAGAGCACATGGGGGATGCACGGAACAAGGCATTCAACAGGACAAAACAAAACACAGATAAAGAAAAAAAAATCACCGTTAGTTGGTGTTCTGAATCTGGGATCTGGCCACACACAGGAGAGAGAAGACGGGGAGGGTCTCCAAATAGAAGAGAGGGTGCTTCAAGGGTCTCACTTCCCAAATGGCAGGGAACCCCTTGCTGGCAGGCAGGGGTCCACATACCCTCCTTCTAATCACCAACAGGAGAGGCATTGATCCTCCTTGCCCTAGTGCCATGCTCTACGTGGCTTCCACAGGCTGACAAACTCCAACATCTTGGACCTCCAGCCTCTCCCTCCTCCTTACCCACCTTCTCACCCCTGGCACATATCCAGATATTTCAGATGTTTAGTAGCCAGCCCAAACCTCGCATGTCCAAAATCAGTCTGGTGTCCCCTCAAAGCCTCTTTGCTTCATCTCAAAAAGAGTGATGCCATCGTGGGATGGTTTGATCCTAAATCCTGACAGTCATCTTCTCTCCTCTCCCTTTCCATGTCCTGCCTGTCAATCTGGTTGGCCCCACCTCCAAATTATATCCACACTCTCAGCACCCCTCCATCTCCATGGCTACTGCCCTGGCCACCATGAATAGCCTCCTAACTCCCTGGTCTCTTTCCATTCTTGCCACTCTGATCCTTCCAGAACAAGTCAGATAATGTCATTCTGCAGCCTAAATCCTTCTGAAGGCTGTTCACACCATACAAACCAACACCAATATTCTTAGGCCCACTACAAGCCAACTCCCATCTCAGCTACTTCTGAGACTCCGTGTTCCACTGCCCTCTACTTCATCACTCTGGTCTGGCCACAGCACACACACTCTGCCCCAGCACTTTGGCCCTGGCTGCTCCTTAGGATGCAAATCCCCACCACTCAGTGATGCCTTCCCCGACCATCCCATCTACAGCAGAATCCTCTTCCTCTCCAATCCCCTGGTGCTTCATGTTTTTTCCATAGCTCTCATCACCCATACACACATGCTTGCCAGTTTAGTGTCTGTCTCTGCCATAAAATCAGGGTTTTCACCTGTTTTGTTTACCACCATTTTTCCAGAGCTCACACTAGCAAGTAGCATGGATTGAAGTGCATGCTGAATGATCGATCGACTTGGCCTTGAACACTTCCCCTGTTTCTATAATGGAACATAAAAACAGACCTTCGATTCAAGCTCCCAAAGCTTGACACCAGTATCCAGGCTCACCTCCTGAACAAACAGGAATTATCTGCCTGCATTCTCCAACCTCTCTAGAGACTTCCTCCAATCAATTTTTTTTTTCTATTTTCCCTTCCTCGTCTCACACAGGACCACTCCCTCTCCCCTGGCACCTAGTCATTCTCCCAACTCTGAAAATTTAAGAAAAGTTGTGAACCTCTTCCGGCCCCCTTTAGCTCCCAGTTTCTTTATCACAGAACCACTCATGAGAACTGGCCTGCCTTCACTTCTCCTCACCCACCCTCCACTCGGTCCCGTCTGCTTTGTGTCACTAGCACTAGAATGAAAGACACTGAACAAGTGCCTTTGAAGATTGCAGGGCCAGCTCGCTGGCCGGCCTAGCAACCCTCTCGGTCCCCACCTCTCACTCTCACTACATGGCCATTGCTCATCACCCAGGACTCTGGTCTGTGTATGCCAGCTTCTGTGTAAGTCACCACCCCAACACTCACTCTCAGGCCCCTGGACAGCCTCCACTTCCCTCCAGGATCGCTCTGTCCTGCATCCTCATCTTCCCCACGCCATCTGATATAAAGACCTCATTCAGGCCCAGAGCTCTAACCTTCATCTGTCCTTCTCTACCACAAATGATTCCAAAGCCCAGAGCATGGCCTGTTCTTGCCATGCTCCAGGTCTAGGTGTTCACCTGCCTTCCATGCCTCTCCACCTAGAACTCCACTGTCACATCAAACACAGCTTCTCTGCTCCTGGGCTGCATCTACCACCCCCTGTAACCCTCCTCCCAAAGCTTGGTTTGCTGCCAGAACCACTGCTTTGCTTCTACCCAAGGAGCTCCAGAACAAGTTCAAGGTTTCCCTCTCCCCCATTCACCACAGCCCACCAGTTTGTTCTTCACTGGTTCCACTCCCTTCTCTTTCACTGCCACAGGTAGCACCTGAATTTGATCTCCACCAGCAAGGCTGCCTAGCAAGCTCCTAGCTAGCATCTCCCAGCCCAGCGTCTCTCCAATTCTGCAACCTTCCAGCTCAGACCCACCAGGTCTCTCTCTTCCTAGATCACAGCTGTAAGCACGGCACATTCTCCAGGCTGAGCCACACTGCTGCCAGGCGAGTCGTAGGCTCCTTCCTTTGGTATTTTAATACTTGGCAGACACAGTCTCTAGGCTGCCTAATCCACTCACTGTTCTTCACCCACCCACCAGCCAAGGTAGTGTTTAAAACCACACTCCAGCATCCTCAGTCTCCTTAACCAAAGGCAACCAATCCACTTCTTACCCACACAGCTCCCTCCACACTTCTCTGGTTACAAACGACTTCAAGTACCTGCTCCTTTCCCCTACTAAATTCTGGACTCCTTAAGCATAAGACCCATATCTGATTTCCACCATGCATTGAAATCTCCACTCTAAAGATATCTGAGATGCACCCAGTCACAGGATCAGGAACACGAGCTCACTCAACTCTGACTCTCATTTCCTTTTCTTGTCTTATGGCACTGGCCAGGACGACCAACACAAGGTCATGTGACACGGTTTCCTTAGTTTCTTCCTTATTCTTATGTCATATGACTTCCCTGTTCAATTCCTGTCTGTGCCTGGAATGCTGCTAACATTTCACAAGAGCGTGTGCTGTATCTGCTGTAGGCTTCTGGTATCTTCCCTACAGAGTTCAGAAAACTGCCCATACCCACTCTGCAATTTAAGTCAAAATCAGACATGAAGGATGGCTGGGACAAAGAGGCCTGAACCAGAACCAGAACACCGAGAGTCCAAGACTCACCAAGGAGGAAAAGTCATGCCTGAGGGAGTAAGGACAGGGGGCACCAGGTCAATCACTCCATCAATAGATCCCTCAAAGTCGCACGTCTCCAAGTGGAGCTGCGAGTCTGCCTCCCCAGCTGTCAGGTTGGGGTCTGCTTGTTGCTCCTGCCCATGTTTACACCAGCCCTGCAGATGTCCTGAGGGCCACTGCGCAGACAGGATCTACTAACACTGGAGAGTCTGTTCACGATGCAGCACAGACTCAATGGCCACCTCACAGCCGTGGCAACCAACTCCTACTGCCCCCTCCCTGCTCTCACCCCTTCGGCTAACAGGGAAAGGGAATGGAGAACACTTCACCAGTGCCATCCTCTCCTCCTGGGGAGACAGAATCTGGAAGGTCATGGCCAAGACCTCAGCAGGAGAAGGCCGAGGGGCAGTCATGACCAGGTGGGCAGCCTCCAGGGGCCACGGGGTCACGGCTTCCTCCTCCTAAGCTGGCTCCAGGAAGCACACAACAGGGGTCCTGTGGCGGAAGGAAATCCCTTCTGTTCCCCCAACCTCACAACAGTCTATATAGCATCACCTCCTTTGATCCTCCATCTCCACGCAGTAAGATACCTGGAGAAAAATGAGGTCCTAGGGAATTGAGAGGGCCTTAGCCCCCTCCCATGGACAAGACTAAGCGGAAAACAGGCTCTGCTGGTGCTCACCTGCGCCCAGGCTGCTTTCACCCCCATCCATGGCCAACACTAAGGGAAGTGACTTGGCCCTGACGCCGATTTCCACGGTGTGACTACTCCTACTTTGGCCATTTCCAAGCCATCAGTGGTGGAACTGCCCCCAGGGCCCTGCTCTGGGGCCCAGGAGGACGGTATCCCTGACCCATGCCCAGCTGGTCAGCCCCAAGCTGCTGCTGCAAACCCACTCCATGCCTCCTTGCCTCCGTGCCTCTCTGCAGCTGGCACAGTGACTCAGCTTCTCCTAAATCCAGGGAAAGGGTGGAGGGCACAGCCAACTGCCCAGGCGCCTGCTCTTGGCAAAGGGGCTAGGCACAAGGCTGTGCTGGCTGCACAGTCCCTGGTGCCCCACCCCTGTCCCAGCTGCATCTCCACCAGCTCCAACATGCAGCCTCGCACACCCAGCTTGGCTGATACCCCAGGCTTCCTCCCTCCAGCCTTCTGTATGCTTGCCCTAAGGATGTCAAGTCTAAGGGCAGAGGACACAGTAGCCAGTTGCAGAGTGCCTTCTCTGTGGAAAAACTGTGCTCTAGTCTCAAAAGTCACCACCTCCAGGAAACCTACCCTGATGGCCCTGATTGGTACGCTATGCTTTCTCTGAGTCCTGGGGACCTGCCATAGATTGCTAGCTGTGGACTTATCCCTCATAAGGCAGTACATTCCTCGAGGGCAGAGAAGGAGAAGTGCTGATCTTTGATCTCAGTGCCCAGAAGCTTGGTGCCTGGCAGACACTGAAGGCAGGAGCAGGTGGCTAGGGTGCAGTTTTCACAGAGTCCCTTGACCGTGCCAAGACTGCCTACTGAGGGGTCCCTGTTGTGTGCAAGGTCTGGGGGACAGGAGAGGAAGGGATTAGGAGAGGCTGCTTGAGGTACCTGTTGGCCGCTAAGATTCTTACCTGCCACCCGGTGGGCCACCAGCCCTTCCAGGTTCAGTGGCTCTTCCTCTGGAGTTCGAGAGGGATCTGCATGGGCTTCCTTTGGTGGGAGCTGAAGCTGACCTGCGAGGCCAGGGAGAGAGGCTGGGGGCTGCTGAGGCCCCGAAAGGCCACTGGCATTTGGAAGGAAGGCAGACGAGGAGGAAGAGGCTGAATTCTTGGGCTGGAAGCCCTGGCTGGGTCCAGCAGTATATGGCTGGTAATCATAAGGCGAGTGAGATCTGCACAGGGTCACAGGTTCCAGAGAGGCCTGAAGGACCAGCTCAGGGCTTCCTAGAGAATGCCCACTGGGGATGTAGCCGGATCTGGACTGGGTGAGTGGGTGGGACTGGCGGGAGGAGCCGGACAGCGGCTGGGAGGAGAGGGGGGAAGCCCCTGGCCACGCCCCAGGGACACTCTGCGACTTGTGCAGGGGGGCAGCAGCTGAAGCTGGCTCCAGGTCCAGCATTAGCATGTTGAGTGCCTCAATGGACTGCTCAATCTCCCGCTGTGAGGCCACCCTGGGGAATTCAGGCAGGCTGGGGCTGGGGGTGTCAGCTGGTGGCTGGGGACTGGGCCTGCCTGCCATCAAGCTCTCCTGCTGGCGAGCAGGTGGGCGAGGCTGCTGCTGCTGCTGCCAGGAGTTCAGCCCCCGCTGCACAGCTTCCCGGCTGCTGCCCCCACGGGCTGGAGCTGGGGGCAGCTGGGGCTCGGTTTCCGGAAAGGACTGAGAGCGGAATATACCACTGGGGTCATGGCCATAGTGGGAGGTGGTCACTGGCTGTGACCAGGTCGGGTGGGGGCCCTCCCGCTGGTAGCCAGCAAACCCCTCCTGGGAGTAGGAGGGCCGCACGGGGACAGCATGGCCAGCATGGGCAGGTGCTGCCCGACTGGCAGCCTCATAGGGGTAGCCCCCACCATTGACCACGGGTTCCCCAGGGTAAGGCTTGTCCAGGCCATTGGTCAGGGGTGTCAGGGCCTCAGGGTAGCCCCCTTCACTGGTGTTGGTAATGCCATCCAAGGAGGAGAGCGTGCCCATGCTGCCCACGCTGTGCCCATCCTGGTTGGGCAGTTCATCATCCAGGATGTCTGTCTCCCTCTCGGAGGCCAAGGCCCCACCATTGACATGGACCTGGGCAGGGACAATGTGTCGGCTGGAAGAGGAGGTGGAGGGCTCAGTGGAGCCCCCGGCTGGGCGGGACCTCAGGTGCTGGATGTGGTACATGACACCTTGCTTCTCGCGCTCCAAGCCAAAGCCACTGAGCAGGCGGTCGAGTTCTCGCTTCTCTTCAGGACTCAGGGCCGCAGGGACGCCAGGGGCCCCAGGAGCAGCCTCATCGGTCTTGTCGGTCTTGGTGGAGGCTGTGGAGTTGCCCGAGTCGCTGCTCACAGACAGTGTGTGCTCCACGTGGTTGGGGGTGGCAGAGAGGACAGGACGTGTGGCGTGGATGGCCCCGCTGTTGCCCTGCAGGGAGTCCTTCTTCTTGACCTTGGCGTATAGGCTCCCGTCTAGCGGCCCTTGTGTGTGTCCCACCACCTCTGCAAGGAGACAGTGAGGGGGACACAACAGACAGACGTCAGTATAGAATTGGGTAAGGTGCTACAAGCTCTTACTTCTTACCTCCAAAAACCACTTTTTCAGGGTCCTAAGCAGAGATGGAGCGGAATGACCAAAGGGTCCTTCCCCAAGCCCTGTGACAGAGCCCTGCCTAACACCCAGCTTCAGGGTCATGAAAGCAGGCAGGACATTCCCAGGGACACACTAGCCCTACTTCCAAGACCAGCTATGTGGCTAGCTTCCAGGCCAGAGGAAGCCTCAGTTTCCTCCTCCATAGAATGGGGCTAATCATGTAATGAGGCCAAGCCACAGGAAAGCACCAGTATTCCTGGAACACATGCTTCAGGTTGAAATGAGCTCATAAATGCTGTCATGTGCTCGGTGACTGGTGTTTCAGTGAGCTGTCAACACTCAGGCGCCATGACCCTGATCTTCTTCGTATCTTTCATTCCCAAAGGATGGTGTCTATGATGTGCCTGAGCCCCTGTCCTCCCTCTCACCCAGGTTCAAGGCCCATGAGGTGGGTGTGCCTTGCAAGTACACGAAAGTGTCAGTGTGGATACCCACTGAGCTCAGCCTTTACACTGGAAAACAAGGGAAAAGGATAGGAGGGTACAGGGGTACAGGGAGGGATCCCCCAAGGGCCAAGGTGAGAGGGGGGAGTAAAGAGACTTGAATCAGATCTAGGATTCTCAAGACAAACTTGTCTTTGGGGCTCTACAGCTGATTCTGTCTTTGGTTCCACACAAAGAAATTTCTAGAACCATCCAAACAATGCCTTTCATCCCACCCACCACCACATAGCCAAAGGGCTCTTCTAGTTTCTCCGCCTAGCACTGGCCATTCCTCTGGACCCCTACTCGGGGACAGCATCAGGTCTGCAAGGATGAGCATCCAGGTCCTCTGAGAGATCCCTAGCAAGTGTTGGGCCAAGGCAGGTGCAAGGTGAAGTCCCCAGACCAGACATGGGGAGGCCAGGTGAGGTGGAGGGCTCCGGACTAGGGAGGTGGCGGCAGGGTTGGGGGCAGGGAAGCATGCAAGCAGAGGTTCCCACTATGGAGGGGATGTTTTGTCTGAGGCATGCAGGCCCCCCCGCCCCCGCCCCATTACTGCTTTTCTCTGAGAGGAAAAAATGAGTGCTGGGTGGCTCAGGGCCAAAAGGACTGACTCAGGGATGAAGAACTCGCCCCGCCTGGAGAAAGGCAGTGATTTCACACCCTGTACAGTCAGCGGCCCAGGCGCGCGCGTGTGCGCACACACACACACACACACACACACACACACACACACACACACACACACGCACATATACACGCACACGCTCCTCCCCGCCCCACACTCCCATTCAAGGGCTTGTGTTGGCAAGAGGAGAAATCCCTCTCTCTGAGGCCCTGGCAGCTCCAGCCCAGACCCCAGCAGCCACACACAGGACCAGACAACACACAAAGAGGCTCGCCGTCCACCAGAAACTGCACCGACACGCGCCCTCCCTTGGGTGTGGACAGGAAGCCCGGGTGTAGCACAGACATGTGGACCCCCAATGCTAACAGTCAGTGGCTGTCACTTCCCACTGACAGGACATGTGTCCCTGGTCCCATTACATAGCTGGGGAAACTGAGGCCCAGAGAGGCCAGCGCATGGATCTACAGACACATGATGCCCACCCCAGCCAGGATTTGAGTCCCGAACCAACTTCCTTCCTAGATCACGCAGCTGTTATGATGTAAGTCTTCTCTCACACCACGTACACATACACACACTAGAACAAGCTCGTAAAAGACAGGAAGATCCTGAAATAAATACTTAGATTTAAAGCCACAAACATTTCCAAAAAATACAAATGACCAACCATGCCCAGGGCTAAGGAAGCCCTTGGGCCCTAAGTGGCCTCTAAAAATAAACACTCCAACAGAAACCCAAAGGGCAAAAGCAAACCAGAAGACAACCACAAAACACGAACACCCTGATCTCTCTCTCTCTCTCTCACACACACACACACACAAACACACACACACACACGCCATAGGCCACCCACATGACGTCATCTGGGAGCGGGCACAGTAGCATCCCCTGCGCACACACATACCCTGCTCCCTCTCCCCTAGACTTGGACTAATGCTCTGAACTCTCCAGAACCACTTCTCTGCCCCAGTTCTCTCTAATGTTTCATAACCTCAGCCAGCAGGCACCCCAAGTGCCGAGAGCCCTTAGGACCTGAAAGGCCATGGGCTGGCACTCACTCTGCACCTGCCCCCTGTGTCCGGCCACTTCTCTGATTGCCTGAATCATCTCCAAAGACATCCACAAGCTACAGGATGATGGGGCTGTGTCCTTCCTGCCATGTACCTCCAGAGGTTCAAGACCCAGGCTGTTGGCTAAAAGCGAGAGAAGACGCATCAGCTGGATGGCTAATGACTGCTTATGTGGGAACAGGACCTGCCATCACCTACCCTGATACTCAGACACCTCTGGGTAGGGTCCCTGGAATACAAGGGCTCTCACGTCTGAGGGCAGGAACTAAATAAAAAGTTGGCCCTCCTCTTACTGGGCCCCACACTGTAGCCCCCACACTGCCGCTCCTTCCTGGGCCTAGGGAGGGGAGGTCCCTTCCAACTCCTGGCACCCCAAAGTCCACATGTAGGTGGCAAAGGAAGGCTGCCCTATTCACACAGAGATGGAGATGCATAGGCAAGTAAAGGGGCTGAGTACCATCCCAGTGGGGAGCAAACAAGCCTGCTCCAGTATCCATCATACCAAAAGGAGGGCATTCAGGAAGAGCTGGAAGGGTGGTCCCAAGCAGGAGACAAGATGCAGGCCTCCAGCACCTGAGAGCCCTATGCTGCCTCCAAGCCCAGGTCTGGGGTTTCATCAGTTCTGGTAGCTGCACCTTCACAGTGGCCCTGGTCTACTTCTCTGGGAGAATCAGGGACCGCCTAGGTCTAGCCGGGCCTCCACAGTGCCCAGCAGCTAGGGCTGAGCCCAACCTGTGAGGCGGCCAACCTCCCATACCCACCCCACCCTCTTCCTCCCAGCCTCCGTCCCTCCCTGCTCTCCATCCACCGCAGCCACATTAGGAGCCATTTCCGTGGACCACAAGAGATCGGAACGTAACATTGGCTTTAATCTACTAAGACAGGAAGGACAAAAGAGAGAGGCAGACTGAGCAAGGACAAGAGGGTAAGTGAGTGGAAGACAGAGGGACTTAGGGAGGAGCCCATTTGAAGAATCAGGAGCTTGAGGAACTCAGCAGCTGCCACGACAGACACCACGGGCCAGCTCAGGTCAAGTCACCTGAGATCAGGTGATGGGCCTCCAGCTGGGGCAGGACCAGAGGCAGGGCTGCCTGGCTGGGGTTCTGGGTGCTAATGTTCTAGGGACATTAGAGAAGGGACTGTAGTGAAACATAGGTTGCAAGCAGCTCAGGTCCTGGAAAGCAAGGACATCCCATCTCATGAATCACACCCTGCCCATTTCTGCAAGAATGTCATGAAGGCCACCACCTCTGGAGAGGGCCATGGGTCCCACTTCCACACAGGCCCTGACTGCATGGCGGCTATCATCCAGATGTGCCACAATGTGGACCCACTTCCCAAAGCTCCCTCAGGTTGCCCTGTGTGTGGAGGTGCTTTAGTATTGCAAGGGCCGGGATGATACAGGGAAGTCGACACACACTGCTGGCTAGACTTGAAAACGAATTAGAGAAATAAACAGGAGATACTGCTGTTCGCTGCTTTCAGGCAGCTGTTTGTTACTATTGATGTTCATCACAAATCCCCTTCCCTGGGGATTAAGGATGCAGATCCCAGTATCCAATCCTCAAAGATTTTCTCTCTAGGCCCAGGGTTGAGAGGGAGACAAGAACCAGCATTTTCAGCAGGTGCACAACATGATGAGAGACCCAGACCTTGGCCGTCAACACCCCAGACTTGGAGATTAAGGGTTCCCCACTTCCCTCCCCAAAGCCAAGCTGGGAGTCTGTCCTTATGTAGAAGCCTAGACAGATGGTCCCACCATGAAGGATGGTGGATGGCACCGCAGGATGCCCTAGGGGTGATGGTGAGTCAAGGAGCAGAGCTCCCTCCCAGGGCATCTGGCAGATGTGTTTTGAATGGGCGAGTGACTCATGCAGGTGCAGAGTGGGCTTTCTGTGATAAGGCATCCTCTGGGCTGCCTCCAGCAGCATGACAATTTACTGAAACATGCTCCCAAGAGCAGTGATGACCAGCCAACATGGAGCAGCACTGAAGCATGACAGCAAGAAGCCTGGGACCCACTCTGGACACAGGCAGTTTGTAAGCAACTGGGAACCCAGCAGGAAGAAATTGAAGTTTCAGCAAGGCCATCAACATGCAGGAACTGGGCGAGCCAAGAGACAGCCAGGAGAGTGAGTTCTGGACTTGTCACCTCCCATAGCCTCCTGGGGTTAGAGGAGTAGAGTAAAAGCAGAGGCTGGGGCTGGGGCAGTGAGGGGCAGCACGTGGGAGTGAGCCCCTGGATGAGGCCAGGTCCCCCACCCACCTCTGTGGCCAGACACACCCATCATGCGGAAGGAAGTCTCCCTATTTCTGGCCAGGTCGGCTTGTACTAATCACTTTAGCACTCAGAACCTGGCTTCCAAGGCTGCCCAGGGCAGAGCTGAGTGCTGCCTTGCAGCTCTGCTAAGTTACAGGATTTGGGACCTAAAGCCCTGTGCTAGGCCAGCTCTCTGCGCTCTTTCCCTCTCCATTCCAGGCTTTCTATTATTCAATGGCTCTCATCAGCCACAGGCAAAGCCCAGCCTCCAGCCTGGAAATGCCAGATCTGTGCTCATGCAGCCCCTGATTGCCTCTGAAACCGCAACTGTCCTCCATACCCCTAATCCCACCTTCCTCCTCCTCTTCAATTACTGATGCACTCTTCCTTCCTCTGTGCCGCAGCACCTGCTGGTCCCTGTCCTGAAATGCTCTTCCTCATTCTGCACCTTGAACATCCAACCTCTTAC